AAGTGATTCACAACACAATGGAAAGCTCAGTGATGATGCCTTTGAAGTGAAGACAGGAAGGAGTAGGTCAGGGTTGCCACCTACTATCACCGATGATATTCCTTTCTGATTGTGGTCGACTGGACTGGACTGGACTGGACTGGATGATGCAACAGACAACTGTGAGGAGCGAGAAGATGGGCATACACTGTTTGAGAAGACGGATGAAAAGAGCCTTGAAGATTTGGATTTCACCGATGATGTTTTAAGTCTCAACAAATATGCAGAAGAAAGTGGAGATGAATTGGATTGGACATACACTGAGATGACCGATTGGAGACATCACGCACTAGACTAGGCCCTCAAGTGGAATCCAAAGGGAAACGACGAATGTTGGGTGTGCTAGCGGGATCTGGAAGAGATCGTGTGAGGAAGAAATGAAAGCTTATGGGCAGTTGCCGAGCCAAGTTGGAAAGACTTCAGAGAATTGCAGAGTAAAGTGGTCACGTGCTATTGGAGCACTATGTTCCACTAGGATCCCAGGGGTAAAAATATTTAAATGAAATTAAACTGTCCTGAAGATGAAATTCAAATGACGTAAATAGATGATGGTCAATAGTTGATTAAGTTTAAGAATGTGTCTGTAGGTAATCTGCGAAGTATAGCCGGCGCATATCGTTCTATGTTCTGTGGTAAAAACAATAAACAAAGAGTATAGATTGTCGTGTCTGACGAACGTTTCATCCAGTGATGTAAGCTGCCGGTGAAAAATGATCAACTTCTAGCTATCCACACCAGTTCTCAGGTTCACCCATTCAGATTACAGTTATCTACTTTCCAGGCAGCTACTTAGTTAGTTTGTTACCGTACATATCAGTGTCTCTTCAACTGATATAATTGAAATTTTGACCTATTAAGTTACACACCCAAACTTTATTACACATATAAATATTTAGGGAACTAGGACATGTCGTTAAATCCTACAAATTACGTTTGACTCATAGCCCAGTACACGAGTCTGTAAGTGATTCTTAAGATGTGCGAGTAACGAAATCCTAAAACGTTTCTGAAACTCATGATTTATGATTCGTAGCCTCATTTTGCCGAAATCCAGCTTATATCCTACAAATCGCACTACATTTCTTACCTCTCCCTCTGTTCCATTCTTTAATAGATTACTTATATTATCAATGATTTTGCTGTGCAACTTGTGGCCATTGATTTCCTAACTTTTAATTATCTTCTGTGCTAATAATAATTCACGATTTCCTATTGTATGCAACTGAGGGTGTATCATTTTATTCTACAAGTCTATTCCTTCTCGCTTTGTGGAAATCTTATGTTTATGTTGAAATAGCCTAAATTCTTAAAGACTTTATTACTTTTCATGCATCTGTTTCTATTCTACTCATGTCCAACCCTTTGGTAACATTGACTTGTTTTGATCTTTTCATGGATTGTTTAGATTGTCTGAGAATTTGAACCTATTGAGTATTACACAAGGATTTTAGCTTTTATATTTTACTTTTATCTCTCATATATCTTTCATAAACTATTCCATAAATGGTTTTGATCTCAACCATCCCTGCTGCTGTTCTGAAAAGACTGAATTTGTAACTACTGGTAATCTGAAAACTATGTACTAGTTGATTTTCTGTGTGATATACCTCAGTGATATGCAGACAAACTATGATACTTAGTTATCCAACTGGAAATTGTTGTTGCATCTGTAAACATTTCTCAGTGACTGACCTACATAATCATATCTCTATGCAGAATTGAAACGGTTCAGTGGAAAACTGTGCTATCGGAAGCTTGTTGTCCCTTTTTAACCCATACATCTTCATGATCATTGTTTATAATTTCAATGTTTCACACACTACTTGTGTAGGCTCAACGTACACCAGTAAATATTGTTATATATTATTTCATTTCTTTATCTAGTGAAAATGAGATCTGTATCTAATTGATTTAAGCAGTTAACCTACAATTTGAAGGTTATGATGTACAGCTCCACTCCGTCTACTGAAGTATGGGCAACCACAAAGTATCTATCACCAGCTTTTACAATATTTCTGGCTCACTGAATTGTTGATAGTTAATGACTTATTGATGTGAACTTATCTGCCTGAAACTGATGTTACGTCTATCAATGTAGATGCTTATGCTTTCTCTCAAAACTATTAAGGAAATACGACTCATTGCTAAGCAAGTTAACCTGTATACCCATGCACATTATCTCATCAAACCATCTTTGTAAGATGTGGGATTTAAAGTGAAAGTAGTACGACTAGATGACCCTCAATAAGACTTATCCGCGGTTTCATTAGGAAACTGTTATATATTCCGAAAGGATATAATATGTAGGCTTGACTGACAGATAAATTCGTACACAAGATCCACCGACTCCAACCCGGACATAATTGAGAAGGCTGAACTGGATGAGGGAGTTTATTCCTCCGAGAAGAATAGTCAATTAACCCGAGAACATGTGTGTATGTATACATGACATATGATCTTGTCCAGAATTTGAAACATTAACATAGTAGAAGTAAGCATTAACCAATTACCTTGAGAATGAGAGGAGAAAATGAACAACTGACTTTACCTTAAAAAAAGGAGCCAAAACGACAATGTCAAAATGTTCTGATTAGTAAACGATGTTGTACACGAATCTGGGGCCTTCCAGCAGTTCCCTTTTTTTAAAAAGCTCATTAATACCTTCGCTTTTTGGGGTCCATCTTTTGGTTGGAAGCCCCTTGTTGATATCGGTTTCGGGTTCCTTTAGCATCGTTGGCAATTTAAACGTATCCAGTAGGATGTCAAGTGATATGGTCAGATTCTCTGTTTGGTTGGCTTTTCTGTGATGCGACCGATTCATGTATCTCACCCGTTTCTCCTGATCTTCCTTTATGTCATACACAACACTTCTATGCCTTTTAATGACAACATTTATCCATATGCCATGTCCTGGTAAGCAATCTCATACGTAGACATGGTCTCCCTTGTTGAAGTTTGATCCAACTGTTTGTGTTGTTTGGATCTTCCAATAGTAACCAAAATTTTCTGGACACGCGATATAAGATTTGCTTGATACCATTATTTCTGTGATGATTGGAAATACAAGTAAATAACATTCAGTGCTGACTGAAATAAGTAAAAACCTGGTTTGATTTTACATCTTACTGATCTGCTTATATATTCAGCCGCAAACTGGATTGTTCAAACCATTCGTTTAACAAGGCTCTATGAGTGCAAACCTCAAAACAAGCAAAATCGCTATCCACTATTTAATGACTTCAACCTAGCTAGTGAGATGTTACTAATTAGAGTGATGTGTTTCAAATAATTCTGTTAGTCAGTTTTGTGCATCGTACAGTTTTCATCCGTTCATTTTAACTATCTAATTGAACCACAGTCATATCAGGCGAACAGTTATGCGTCAGTTCAAACTGCTATACTGCAAAGCAGCCAATAAGTTTTAACATATATATATCAAGAACAAGATATTCAGCGAAAAGACTCTTTCCAACGAATTTATATATATATATATATATATATATATATATATATATATATGAATTGGTGGAGCGTTTTCATCAGGTTTTTCTGATTTTCCTTCTCGATTACTTAAAGTCCAAGCAACTTAGATGTAATTAATGAAAAATTCGTTAATGCTTTTACGATCAGTCTATTCAGATTAAGGTTTTGAAAACAGGTCTAAGTATTCACAAAGTTTGATTCTTTTACTGACATACACATAGTACCACATCCACCTAAGTTGTATCAATACATACTAGTGCCACTAGTTTTTTCATAGTTTTATAGGAAGATTTTTTTTGTGTACTTTGGCAATAATTTACTGTCTGTCCACTGACACTCCTATGCTCCTTCACTAACTGTTTTGTTCTTTCTACATGATTAGATCTTTGTTACGTTGTTCTACTTACACTTGGTGTATATAATAAATGGGCTTATATTACTTTATAACAGGGCAGAAATTCTCGTTGAAAATGAACTTAGAAATCACTGACTAACTGTTTAAGTTCAAATTTCTAATATTAGTTTTAATGACTGGTGTTTTTAGAATTAAATAATTTGAAAATATCATAACTTATCCTTCAGTGTTCCACAAGTCACCAAATTCTGCTTGTGATTGCGTTCATCATCATCATCATTATCAACATAGGACCAGGCATTACTGCGTAACGGTCCGAGTTGCCACACCTCATATCAGCACATCAAGTAAAAGGTAGTGAGGTGAAGGATGAAGATAAGTGAATACAGTCAAAAGAAATATAAAGTACGAGAAGAAAGGAAAGAGGAGTGACAAAATAGTGAGATTCGGTATAGCGTTGTTAAGATGAGGATAATGTGTGTATACATCTGCGCCACTGACTTCGGTTCTGAGCCATATCACCTAGGGTCTCCAACCACTGGTTCCTCTTGTGATTGCGTTGGGTGAGGCTAAAAGTTATCTCCAGGTGTAATAGTGTTCCATGTAAAAATACATATTTTCTGTGCTTTATAAGCTTATATTTTGGTCGGAAAACTGCAATCATAAATCCTTTCTGCTGCAGTCTAAAGGCTGAATTAACTTTGATTTGTGAGCATCATCCGTCATAAATATATGTAGTTACATTCCTACTAGGAGGTGGATGGTCAACCAATAATTTGCACATGAATAAATGGCATGAAACATGATTCAGTGACAGAAAGTATTTTAGAAACCATACAATTAGATAAAATATACATACAGCACACGAAAAGTAAGCGAATCTGAGTACAGAACTCAATATCCTATAACAAGCGTAATAACAACTGGGGATAACTTTTAGCCTCACTCCTTTTCTGACAATCTGCTATTATGCTGAACCAATCAATTGTGCGTTGTTTTTAGCATCATTTTTTAAAGTGACATTGAATATTGAAGAAAACTTATGTTTACATTCACCAGTTAATTGTATAACTAATTTAAAAATTCACTTTTAAAATCTGTTCTTACGTTTATTTTCAAATAGAAAAAGAAAATGAAAATCAGAGTGATACTCCAGAGTCTTCAGATTTGATTACTTCAAGTGCATCACCTACTTTAACACCATCATCATCATATGCGTCCAAGTTCAGTAGTAACCTACCAATTACTTCGTCAACTTCAAATGCTGAGTTAGATTTAAGAGATCTTGGGAAACAGTTATCAATTGGAGTGACACGTGAGGTGAGTATTAGTATAATTTTATGTTTTAATTGAGCTGCATGCATTATATGCTTTTTATCCGTGATGCTACCAAATTATGGGGTTGGTTATCCTTTAGTGCACTACATAAACTTTAAATGACCTTAACTTTTTTCATTTCACTGCTAAGGTACATTACAGTAGAAGTTAGCAGCTAGTTACTTGGTACTTTTTTTTGACAGTGCTAAGTTTGTAGAATACTGTTGGAAGCCTTATTCCACTAGGTTTCGCTCTTTTTCTGTTTTAAGCGTTATGTCTGAACCCACATTTTTCGGAATTGGTTTGATGAAGTTGTCTTCTCTGATAGAATAATGTCTTTCATCGAAAATTGTAGTTTACGAAACACTGGATTTGAATATCATTCATCTAGATTCTAATAGAGACTAGATGTGAAATTTCTAGTTGTACTTACTTGTAATCACTAAGGTGTTGTTTTGATCCAACTAATGTTGTAAATCAGTTCTTATTGTGTATCAGAAATGAATGAATATTTGATATTTGCGTGTCGTCAATGCATAAAGTGTGTCTTACTTGTATAATCCTGGCGTATTGTGTTAGAACGGGCGAAATGAACAACTATTTTGTATTATTCCTTAATGTAAATATGAAAAGCGACATATTATGCAAGGTGGTGGTGGTAATCAATCATGTAGCTTCAAAGTGGTATGTGATTAGACCACTAATGACCGTGTTAAAAGTCTCACCGTCTAATAGAACTGACATTGAAACTGCTTCAACAAAACACCAGAGAAGAAGTCAGGCATAAAACTTAACATGCTCTGATTAGTCGAAAACCGTCAAATATAATTATAATTTTGACCATCGGAGATAGCTGTTGTTCCACAGACTAGTATTTATATTGAGTGATGATTGAAGGTGAAATGAAAATTCAGACCGCAGCCGGATTCGAGCCAGCGACCACGAGGTTTCCATCCCGATGCTGTATTTCGTAGCTCATTTGGTAGATTATCGAGTCAGAAACCCGGTGGTTTCTGTTTCGAATCCGGCTGCAGTTCAAATTTTCATTTCACCTGCAATCATCACCCCAGTATTAATGTAATTATATAAAAAAAGGATCCAAGTGCTTTTCTGTCCTTAAATAGTGATAAGAAAACATTACTGTTGTCATGAGCACATCAGAATATGAACAAAATATTACAACTTTATAAAGTAATGGAATACAGAAAACATGAGTCAACACTAAGTTAAGTGAAACTACAGATTAACAGATTACTATATAATCTGAAACTAAAATTACACAATGCCTTGTGGTTTAAATTAACGCCAAAAAGTTATACCACTTCACTTTTCTACCTTCTGAATATTCACTAACCCAACAATCTGACATGTCTAATTGGGCATTTTATTCACTCTCCAACATACAACCTTTCCAAGTACATCGCAAACATCCTTAAACCATAACAAGATAACTTAGTAAGTTCTATAGAATACTCATTAAACTTTGGACATAAATGTTTACAATCAAATATTGAATAAGTTGTGTTGTTTCCCTGTTTACAAACGTTCCTATTGGTGAAGTCATACAATTTTTTAAATCTTTGTTAGAATCTGACACATCTTTATCAATTAGATGTAATCCATCTATTGTTAAAATCTGTGATGGACTGAGATTATGTTTTACCTTTCGAAGAAACCTTTACTGCCAACCAGTGGAGTGGCTCACCTGCTTTACTTATTGTAGCTAATTCAAACGTGTATCGACTTAGCCAATCAGACTTAAAACGAAGAATATGGTGGAGGTACGTTGATGACTAAAAGATAAGGTCTAGATCAGCTTTTCAAATATCAAGACAGTTGGTTCAACTCCATAAAGTTTAAAAATGATTTAAGAGTAGAATTCAAAACTCTAGCTTTCCTAGGCTGTAAGGCCACAGGAAACAGTGACTGTTCACTTGTAATTGATGTCTGTCGAAAAGATACACATTCTAACAAATACCTTAACTTCTAATCAGCTCGGTCACTAAAGACTGTGTCGCAAGAAATTCAATGGAGGGATCTCAAAGGATACCAAAGTAACTGGAATTTCAGAAAACTAACAGTCAGCTTTTACAAGAAGTTCTGAAACAAACCAACTAGTTGGCAAAGTTACTCAGGAAACTTGAAAGAAGACGGGAAATCCAACTCTTAACGATCGGATGATTACTGTAGTACTTAATTAGTGTACATGCACAACAGAAAAAATAAGGCATATGCTCCTAAACGTATAACATCTGGGTATTCCTTGAAGTGATAAACACTTGACTCATACCTGTCCGAATTAAAAGGCTCGAAACCCTATTTGGAACAACAGAACTGTCTGCGAGGTTGACTGGAGTGAATGTAATTCTACATATCTTGTAGAGTCCACCACGTCAAGTACGACTACACCTTGCTGAACATATAACTTAATTAGCAAACAGCAACCAACAAATCCCTATGAACTGGAAAAACTTGGAAAGGTGAAAGCCCTGAAAAAGAGTTTCTTTTCTCACGAAGAGAGGGATATTGAAGAAGCTTTACATTTATGTTCACGCACTCTTGTGGTTAGCAGAAAGGATGAACTGGACATCTCACAGATATGGCAACCATGAGTGACTCGGATAGAAAGTTCCAAATCATATAAAATGAGAATACTTGAAGATAATTTAATTTCAATCCATCACTCTACTCCACATAGTTTATTCTTAACATGTTCATTTATCCGGCATAGTAACTTATTCCTGCTCCTTCCTGATGACTCACCACTCCGTTGAATATTTCAGTCAAAAAGACCCATCCTGTTTTCGTACACTTACACAAGTTGGATGGGCTTATATGACCTTTTATTGTATTAATCAACTAAATTATATTGATCTTTGTCTTACATATCACTAATTGGATGATAAAAAGGTCACCTTCAATACCAAGCCTGAATATATATTTATATATAACCCATACTCTTGAAAATGGGTCTTCCTAGCGAGATCGAGACGTTTAGGAATAATACAAAGTATTCGCTTACTTTATCATTTGTCATTTGCTACACTGGGATTACAGAAGTAAAATACGCTTTATACAATGGATCACATTAACTCTGTGCCGAAGTTCTTCCGAACAATCCAATCATTCGTTGGTTTAGATACATTCAGGAATACAGTTTACTGGAAACTCGATAGTTTTTAGTTTTTCGCTTACAAAACAAATTTAAAAATTATGTTAAAGTTCCACACTTTACGGTTGTTCAGAATTCATCTGTTGTCCTATTGAATTAAAATGGGGCAACAAATTATTTTGAACGAAATCATTAAGTATCTCATTTAGGTAATAAATAACTTACTAGTTTTAGAAGGTTACTGGCTACTGGTTAGAAGTCCTTGGAGCATTGTAACCATAGATTGATGCAAGTATACCTCACTAAAGTGTATTAAATCAGACGAAATCTGCATTTGTGATAGCTTTATTAGTCACATTAGCATTACATGCATTTTCATCAAGATTTCTTTCATCTGTGATGGAAAAAAGTTAGCGTTCGTACGCTCTCATTGCTATATTAGTTGGTTATTAATCATATTAGGATAACCTGTGTAACTTATTGAGGATGTTGTATTTCTCCTTAAAAAGATCCAACATAATTGTATTATAATGCAAACCACAGTACGATGTGCACAACTAAGTAGTAGCATTTTACTGAGATAAGTAATAAGCTTTAAAATTCATGCATTTGTGGTTATGCAGAAAGAAATGAGACACTTCTAAAGAAATTTAAAAAAAGGCTAGAGAAGAAGCAGCTGCGACCGAAGCACAATTCACCTCGAAAGTAGAATGTAGATATTATTTGCATGAATGGTGTTGAATGAAAGATTGTAATACTTTATCCTTTCTTATTTTAATTTCTCAATATGGGATATCCTCTGTGCTCACCACTTTTGTTTTCGACAACTGTTGTGTATGAATATGTTTACAAGGATTCGTATATTATAATTAGCTTAAAATTTTGTTATCACTGAGGTATAACGAGACTGACGAACCGTGCTTATAAAATCAACCACTACCTCCTAACACAGGAGTGGTCGGGAATTTTGACCTCGCCACCAAACTAACAACAAATGGTTCATGTTATGGGATATAAAAATTTTGCTTTATATAAAATGTTGTACGTCTACAAGGCACGTCACGTCAAGGTTATCTATCGGCCAGTGAGGTGTTTTGAATGATGAATGGGATTTTTCATCGCCTTGTCAAACAGTTTATTGTGTTTGCCAAACATGGTTTTCTTTGACATTTGAAACGATGATCTGTCAGTTTACACTCTGCTTGCGAAAGAGATACATTCATTTTATAAATTGTGTATATAACAAAATTTAGCCTTCGTGTATGCTATTGGCAATCGTTTTAGATAGGTCATTGAATATCGCAGCATCTTTTTGTAACATAATGAGAATTACATAGCCATCTAGATAAGACTCAAATTCAAGTCAATCACTATTAACATGTAACCAAGCATTACTGCTTGAACTTCCAATTTTCCACACTTTATATCAGATGATTATCATTTTTTTCAGTAGAAGTAAGAAATAATTCTTTGCTTTTTCCTCTATCATTTTTGTACCAGATGGCTCGTGAAATCAAAATTGTGACTATTTATCTAGCTCTTGGCTGTCCAGATCGTATACGTTTTGAATACCAGTTCTTTTGTACTAGAGATGAAGATGGACAAAAACAACTGAATCCATCCTATTCAAATCTGTTAATTTGTCCACCGTTAGATCCAGATGGAGATGGTATAAGCAATGGTCTAAGACGTCTACTACACTTAAATGCTAGTGACTACTTACTTCATCGTGATTGGATTGTAAGTTGGCTAATTTTCTCCTGTTTTGCAACCATCATTTTCTTGCTGATGATAAGTTGTTTTACTTCACAATATTTAAATAGCATTTCACAGTATCTATGGTAGGATTACAGGTTTGAACTCCATCTGACGACATTTTGGTAAGCCAATATAACATCATGGACCCTCACACGAATTTGAATGGGATTACTAAGCTTTTTTAATTTATAATTTTGGTAAATTGAATACCTGAAATTTAAGTCTAATCATACTAAAACCTGTGTTTATGACCTTAATATTAAACTCTTAATTTAAATCAAGATAGATGACTTCAGGTCATAACTTCATAGACTAGGACTTGAGAGTAAAAGGTGAGTTTTAAGAACAAGCTAATTATAATGGACAACAGTTGACTATTAGTTAATTACAAATGGTTATTTTTGTGTGCAGCTTATTGTTATTGATAATAGTATAGTATGGTAAGTACTTTGTCATTACTACAGGTTCAAATTCATGAATCAAGACAACTGCCAACTGGTGAAAGTGATTCGGTATACAGATCAATCAAAAATGAACTGAAATCCCCAGAGTAACTTGAAGTAATCTTGACTATTACCTGTTCTCCAAATCTGTTGTGTGTTACTTAGTCAGACGAATATTGAAAGACAATATCTAACTTGTGAAGAATTCTCTAATTGCGAAAATAATCTCTCTAGCATACATGAAATGACAATCAAAGCTGATTGAGTAGTCGACTTAATTTCTTTAAACAAAAGAAAACGCTAACCATTCAGTGGCTTATTTAAAATTGCTAGACAAAGTGTTTTTTTTCTCATCTCAGTAGTTCGTAACGTAAATTTTTTTCGTCTTATCATAGTCAAGTTGTAGGAGTCCAAGGACCTTGACGATATTCAAAATAATAAACTGAAAATTGATAGAGACACACCAAAGTGAGTGTCATCCATCGCAAAATATAAAATTATATTCTGTCATACTCGAAACAAAATTACTCTTCTCAATATCTGTTTGATTCGAAAATGCGAGAGATTTACCACTATATTCAAAATGCTTTTAACAAACGACTCATTCCGTATTACATGTGTTTAAAAAATCTTACTACCGTTAACTCCGTAGATGGAACGTATTGAGTGTTGAAACCAAGATGAAAGTTGTTGAGTAACCTTGGTATATAGCTATGTGAACAGTGTGTTGTAAACATAAGATGGTAACGAATAAATGGTACAGTGCTGTATGTCTGGTGATATTGCCGAAACATTCTGTGGAATGTGTCTGTAAAGTTTTCATTCAGATCGTTCTTGTGTTTCAAACTATCTCAGTCAAATATCGTCAACATAATATTTCGGTAAAAGGAAGAATTTTAAGTCTGAAAATTATAACTAGTCTTAAAGTATTCGTAAATTCTCTGTAAGCTAGCTGTAAATAAATTAGTCGCAATTTGTCGATAGTGCGTGTAGTGCTTCAAGAAATGACAGTAAGTTTGAAGGATGAAAACAATTTCACGATGTGTTTGAATGTGACTATTCTCTTCATAGACGCGGAAAGAGGTATTGGAATTCATGCATAATTCATACTACCGAATATTTTAGCTGAAGATTTGAAGCCTAGTTCTACCTTTATGTTAGTTTTGTGTTTTGCATGTCGGGGATTACTATTTGATTTAAAATTTTATCTAAGGTGGGAAACAGGAATCTCGCGATTCTCATTAAGGTGTTTAATTTCTACAGAAAGAATAGCTTACAAATTTAGTCTGCTTCAATACTGTTTTTTGTCGTCATGCAGAACATTTTTCATGTTGTGATAACGCATTACTCACTCTAACAACTAAATATGAGTTTACTTGATATCTCGTATATGCTTATAATGCATCTTTAACTGAATGAAAATGTAATTGGCTACCTTGTCAAACTCCCAAATAAAGGAAGATCTAAGCGTTTTCAAGAACTGGTGAAGAATCATGCTTCTGTCCACCTCAAGCAAAATATTAAGCCACATCATCCTAGAGAGACTAAAGGATGCGCTGGATTCAAAACTTACGACCGGAACAGGCTGGCTGGCTGGCTGGCTGGCTGGCTGGATTCAGGAAGAACAAATCATGTGTAGATCAAATTGCAACGCAACGCAACGCTACGCTACGCATCATCATAAAACAGACCATAGAATGACAATCAACTGGATCTTTACCTGAACTTCATCGACTTTGAAAAGGCCTTCGACAGCGTCGACCGAGAAGTAATCTGGCACGCAGCTGCTTCATAACTACGCTTTTAGTGCCTGCCATAAACCTTTATCAACCTCATTCAACAGCCATATCCTATGCTATGCTATGCTGTGCTATGCTTTGTGATGCTACATGCCAAGTGATTCACAACACAATGGAAAGCTCAGTGATGATGCCTTTGAAGTGAAGACAGGAAGGAGTAGGTCAGGGTTGCCACCTACTATCACCGATGATATTCCTTTCTGATTGTGGTCGACTGGACTGGACTGGACTGGACTGGATGATGCAACAGACAACTGTGAGGAGCGAGAAGATGGGCATACACTGTTTGAGAAGACGGATGAAAAGAGCCTTGAAGATTTGGATTTCACCGATGATGATTTATGTCTCATGTCTTGTCGCACAAACTCGAAGATGTACAGGCGAAAACCAATGAATTGACAGAAGAGACAAGGCAGTGAAGACGGGACTTATTTCAAGTGAGTGTAGAGAAGACAGAGGTGTTGAAGATACCCAACCAACAGCAACAACAACAACGACAAGATTAACAAGCACCACTCAGCATGAACGGGAGAAATGTAGAGGAAGTTGTCTCTTTGACGTACCTACCTAGTCAGCATCGTTTCAACTACAGATGGTGGTGGCACAGATGAAGACGTCAAAACCAGGATCGCAAAGACAGCAAGACAGGTGTTCATTAGCCTGAAACCAGTGTGGAGGTCTTCTGCACTCAGCATAAACAACAAGATCCGGATTTTCAAGTCAGTGCTTCTATGTGATGGTTGAGAGACTTGACGCGTTACGAAAAGCATTTCCAACAAACTACAGGTATTCATCAACAACTGCCTACTCTGGCTCGTTACTGAAGCTCAGAGGGCCAGAAAGAATAAGCAACAAGGAACTCTGGCCTGACAACGAACCAACCAAGAACCTATCACTGAACAAATATGCAGAAGGAAGTGGAGATGGATTGGATTGTGCATACACCGAAAAGGCAGATTGGGGACATCACGCGCCAGGTCGTCGAGTGGAACCCAAATGGGAAGTGACGAGTTGGGCGTCCGAGGTGAGGGTGACATGGAGGAGATTGTATGAGGAAGAAATGAAAGCTTGTGGGCAGACGTGGAGCTAGGTTGGAAGGACTGGAGAGAACAGAGTGGGATGAAGACGTGCTACAGAAGCCTCATGTTCCACTAGGAACCCAACGGACAAATGATAATAATAATTATCAATATTATTGTCTTCCAGTTCAAACCACTTGTGATAAATGACTGTTGTAAAAGTAGCGATCAACCGTGCTGCTTGAGTTGTTTTAAGTAATATTGTGCTACAGAAAGAAAGAAGTTCAGATATAGTCATAATGATAGGTGAGTTCAAAGCTCAAGTAGAAAAGAAGAGTCACTCGGAAAAGCGCCTTCGGGGTATTTACGGAATCCCATGCCAACAAACCGATAATAGTGGTCATCTTCCGCAGTTTTGTTCTGACAATCACTTGTTTCTGGCCAGCCGTTACTTTAATCATAAGGGAGATACTGTCTCACATGGCGTCTACCGACTGCAAACCAACGATGGACACATAAATCATATTGCTGTAAGCCGTCATCGGAGAGGATCGGTGGACTACCAGTTTGGACTATGATCAAACGTTATTATGGGCTCGTGTATGTCTGTCCATTACCGGTTGCGGGAAACAGGCGATAGTAAAGCTTGTATATGGTCGATTAGAAGGTGAGAACGTCGCGTACGCATTAAGGGAAGAGGCAGTCATCTGAACATGATAGTAATTCCTATGCTGTGGAAACCTGGCGTGATATTCAGTCTGCTTCAGGAACAGCAGTAAAGACAACTGGCAACATACATATGAAGGCTAGCAAACGTCATTAAATTTCTCTGCATCTAAACTGACTGATAAGACAAGACTGATTCCAGGGATTGCTGACCATAATGAGCAAGAGCAAATTAAACGTAAGTTGACCAAGAATTTTCACATCGACCTCGAGTAGTGGTGGTTGACGAAAGCGAAAGAAATGAAGAAGGCATCAACACTGGATAAAACTCAGCAACTATTTAGTCTTATTTAGGATACCGGCAAGAAGATGAAGGTGAGTGAAACCATCACCAAAGAGGGTGGAACGCTGACAAGCTTCCAGGTCAGGTGGCTAGAACATTGGGCAGAACACTGTGAAGCACAATTCGGCTGGACCTCGGTAACTCTTCAGTTGCCTAAGATCCAGTCTGAGCCTGAATGGGGCGTAAATGTGGGTCGTCCAACTCTCTTTAAAGTTGAGAAAGATACATGGAACCTGAAACGATGCAAAGCGGCGGGACCTGGCAGTTTGCAACCTGAAGTTTTCAGGGATGGAGTTAGGAAATTGCTGATTAGATTGACGGAGGTACTGTGTAGTGTTTGGGAATCAGAAGTAGTTCCGTCAGACTGATCAATTCAGTCCATAAGAACGGAGAGAAGTTTCCTTATGACAACCATGAAGGAATTGGTTTGGTTGATATTGTATCCAAGATCCCGGGGTCCATAGCTACTTGACACCCAGCTGGAGCTCGGGATCAACAAACTCGATAAAACCAGGCAGTTTTCAGATTTGGGCGATTAAACTGTGCTGAAGTCTGTTCTGTCCTGTTAAACGGCTGAGACGTGGTTGTTTAAAGTAGAAAACATAAGGTAGTTACAGGGGTTTGATCACAAGTGTCTTCATGGGACTGCTTGCAATTGGTGTAACCATCATGAGAGTAGGGTAGAGCTCCTGCCAAGGGTACCAGGCAAGTCGATTGATGAGGTTGTAAACCTTCACCGACTGAGGTGACTTGGACATGTGTTGTGCATACCGACTCGCCATGTAGCTGAACCTGCCCTGCTAGGGGGAAGTTGGATTCGGTTTGAAGAGGGCTCAGAGTGGCCAAACCAAGAGCTGGCACCATTTGATGGAATATTTGATTGTTAGTCTGAGTCGTATTCGTAGACTACCTGACTGGGGTTCCGGAGACAAAAGTAATCAGCGGTTGAAGACTTTTGGTGACATGATCGGAAATTAGTAACAATGACGCAGATATATTCACGCTTTGACATCTGAAGCTTGAATATTCGCACTAACATTTACGTTCAGATTTCTAATTCTCTCACCCAACTTTGTCTATTTTGATGTCACTTATTTTCTCCTCACTTGTTCTATGTTAATTGCTGTTAAGTGTTGTCGCTTAAACTGATGCGCTTGTGTGCGATGTTCTACATTGATTTTGTCTGTCTGTATGTTAAAGTAATGTTGTAACTGCACCAATAGTGCCTGCAATGAACTAACGGTATCATGATGGGATTGCGATATAAGATTTTATTTTTCAAGTGTCAGTTAGCTTCTAATGGAAGATTAACCTCAGGTTACAGTTCATGAGGAGTCCACGGGACAAGAGAAACCAGTGGTTGGAGACTCTACGTGATATGGCTCAGAACCAATATCAGTGGCGCAGATGTATACACACTTTATCCTCATCTTAACGACGCTGTACCGAGTCTTAGCACTTTCTCATTCTTCCTTTCTCTCTTTTCGTACTTTATATCTGTTTTGACTGAATTTTTTCTCTTCACCTTCTACTTCACTGCCTTTTACTTTAAGTACAGATATGAGGTGTGGTAACTCGGATCGTTACGCAGTATTGCCTGATCTTATGTTGATATGGATGGATGGACATTTCATAAGCTTGTTTGTTATAGTACTGTATTTCTGAAATTCTTATTCTTAAGATAACTAATACCTAAATATAAGCTGTATACTTATTTATTGGCTGCTTATTTTTTTATAGAGGTTATTCTAGCCAATATTTCATGTGATTTTGTTGATGCAGAGGAAAATATTTGATATTTCCCTCCTTATGTTCCTGCTTTGTATACCTTCATTTGTAATTTCAGTCTCGTCATTCCATTCAAAGTAAACCCCAGGTCCCCATATCCTGTCACGATCCTCAAAGTACTACTCATACAAACAGTCCTACAACTGCTCCAGTCGCATCCACACAAAGTAATACATCAATATTCCCACCAAATCCAAATCAGTCTACTGTTTCAAATATTAATACACCGTCTACTGGGACATATTTATCTCAGATATCGTCTGATTCTCCCATGATTGCAACAACTCAACAGCCAGCGTTAATGATGTATCCTCATCCAAATAGCATACAGGTTTTTATTAATGGACAACCATCAGTAATTCAGTTGAATTCATCTCTATCATCTTCAAACCCTATCATTTCTTCCTTATTGGCAACAAATCCTCCTGTAACTTCAGCTCAAAGTCCCAAATTAGTTTTATTACAACAACCAGTTGGTCAAAAAGTGAGTTCGAATGGGTTGTTTTTTATATCTGTTTCAAATTAATATTTTTTGCTGTGTTTAAACTGTGACATGAACCAACACGTTTTTGTAACTCAAATTAGTTTTCGATTTGTAGAGTTATGTCTCAGTAGCTTAATAATTGTTTAAACCACTTGATCGTTCCAGTCGAGTTCTAACGCTGACCTTGCACGTAACTAGTCCGTACATAATTGAGACGTGGCGTATACTCAGTTCGGGTTATTTTAAAGGTCACCCAAGCAACTGGTGATATAACCAATCAGATTTCGGTACTTTGGCTGGGTAGGTAGTTTTTTATAAAATGAGGAAATACAATTGGGTATCTCATAAATCGTTGGGGTAGCCTTTGAAGTCATCCCTCAGATCACTCAAACGATAAATCGTTCAGTTTGATGGGTTCAACCTTGTACACCCGAAAACGAAGTCTTGTGCTTCCTGTCCTCATATTTTGGCAATCTGAATGATCTACTTACATATAAGTGAATTGTTTGACCGCGACATTCCATATTTCACAAAAGTGGAACCACCGATCTCGTGTATAAAAATGAGATAATACACAAAAATTGATTTGATTCGACATTCAATTATTTTAGAACTATAAATCATGCTGAAATTAGTGAGCAGTCAATCGATAGCTCTTCAACTGAATTATACATTAACGTTAGCAAATATGTTATTAGTAAAATACCTTTCATCACTTATAAAATAATGACACATTGGGCCAAATCAGTGTGCATTAAATAGTTTACTTGCTCCTGTGGAGATGAGTACTTCGACTATACCATGTCTCCGCTCATAGGACACGCTGGAGAACACTACCCAAACTGGCTAGCAAAGGGAGAACGAAAGTGCATCTAAAAGTCGATAAAAAGCACTGTGAAGTTGATTCACTCATATTCTTTTGAAAACTCTTTCTAAACCCTCTACATGGTTTGGTCAAGCCACTCAAAGGGAGTAAGAACAAGACATTTAAGGTATAGCGGAAGCACTAGCCATCCGGAAGTTCAAACCAGCGCTGTGGAAATAAGTGCGCTCAATCGTTTTCTTTGCTATGGCCATCATAAAACCTTGAGTGTTCTAGGTAAATCCTGTATTCCTTTTTCTTACTCTAAATTTTCATCCTTATTGCGTAACTCTCTTTCGTTATTCAATACTTTTTCACCCATGATCGAAACTAATTCTGGAATGTTCTGCCCTTCGTAATATATACTCACAAATGTAGAGCCTAGCAGAAACATTTTTCTTCCTTGTAACGGTCTTTTTTTATCTTTTCTCATGAGCAAATGGATGTAGTCCACTGATTATGAAAATCTGTTACCATTATTCACTGAACACTTGCAAATCCCCTGGAAAATGCTCCTTGTTTCAGTCAAACCGAATTTCCATTTTTCAATTTCGTTGGTTAGTAATTCCAGTAGTTGGTTGCATTAGGTCTAATGGTGTTCAAATCTTTCTCCCAAACATGGCATCTAGAGAGTGACTTTAAATGCAACCCTAGAAACTGTTGAGATAACCAATTACATTCCTTTATTTTATGAGAAAATACTTTCCCAGGCGAAATACCGAATCCTGATTAGTCATTTTAGTAGTTATTAGGGTGGCCTTTAAACTCACTCCATCTAGAGGAAAACTTTTGTTAAAAATTGCACGGTTTAGTGTTGATCAATAACGGAATGAAAATTTCCTTAAAATTTCTTTTGTTCCTTATTCCTCCTGAACTTCATTAAGTGTTCTCTTCAATATTTGTCAAAAAATCTGTCGACCTAGTCATTAGACTATGGAAGAGATTTGATGTGATAAAATAGTGTGGAAGCACAAAGTCTTGAAAATTCTGACGACGAGAGCTGAATTGCGTTGTCCGAGACCTATATTTATGGAAATCTATGATGACTGTATATCTGTCGTAACTTGCATATGGTGGGTATTTAGTGGTATCTGTCGATGTGGACTGCATACAATCAATCTTAGATCATTTTCAGTAGGTATCCTTAACAAATAAAAAGATTTACCATCCACATGACCAGCAAAATCGATATGTACTCGAGATTAAGGTTGACTTGAAGCTTGTCACAAATCCAATTCAGTATTTTGCAGAGCTTCTTTTATTTTTTCACGGAAGACATGCTTTACATCATTTCGTAAGTAAAGTTTAGTTTTTCCCATATTGCAGTGCCCCATAGTGTTTTGGAACATGCCTGAATGCTTCTAGTAAAAACCTTTTGCCGTCAACTGGGAAGTACTAGAAGATAAACCTTAAAAAATGTCTTTGATAATTTATATAGAAATCATACACTGAACACTGTTGAATGAAACGCCCCAGAGATTCAACTTATCTATCTAACATACCAATTATATTCAAGTTATGACGTTTTGTGAAATAAAATGTTCCAATAAAGGATTAGTTTACGAGTTTAACATCGCAATCCATCATTCTAGTAAGCTTCAAGATATCACAAAGTACGTTACGAGTTGTGTTTTGTGGGTTTTGTAAGATTTTCATCTCAGTGAAAATATATTCAATATGGAGTAGATCTTCTGTTCGTTCGAACCATCATTCAAATCTAAAACCATTTTCTATATCATAATGAAATCCAGGAACAGAGCTGAGAGCAGACTCAATATTTTTCGTCATATTACCTAGAATCTCTCTTCATACCTCTAAAATCCCAACCAGAGAGCCATTTCTACTTCGCATGACTTGGACTGACAACTAATGACATCATAGGTCGGTCTAGTTCATAACTGATCAACCTGATATTTCTATCGAATCTGTTATTACTTAAACTGAAATCGCATATTTGGTTCGATTAGTGGCATGCCAATAGTTGAAGCATAACTTCTCTGTTGTCTGATGATACTTCATAATCTTCTCAGTAGTAACTAGATTTTGAGTATAAATCTATGTATGTATTCAAGTCGTATTGAACTGGGTTGATTTCCTACGTGTACGTGATAGCTTTAATGTTATCAAAATACTTACACTTCTCATTTCTTTCTTTATATCCAGGTACAAGTCCCGATTGTTGAACGTCCACTAGATCATGAACGACAAGTAACAACCACCTTGACGACAGTTACTCAAGGATTATATACCCCTATGTTGCTGAAACAGACCACTCTGCCCGTTCAGACTAGTGTTTCATCTACCTTGACAAATGTAACAAGTTCACCAGCTACACCTTCATTACCTACTTCTATTTCTTCAACAGTAGAAAATGAAAATTGTCCACTTGTAACATCATCTATAAAATCTTTAAAAGCTTTCAACGCACGTCGTCGTACAAGTATTTTTTCACAAGTGAATAAACGTTTAAATGAAAATTCCATATTAGCTAGAGAATTACAGTCAAAATTACCAACTACATCAACTGCTTCATGCAGTTTACCGTCATTGCACAGTGCTTTGACACATCCTTATACAACACAGTCCTCGATTTCTCCTCTGCAAACTGTCAAGGTAATTCGTACTGTTCGGAATACTTTTTTTCTTCCACATTTTATATTGGTGATTATTAAAAAAACAATAATTTAATGTTATACTTGCATTACTTACTAGAAATGAAGTGGGGAATCATTGGGAATTAGTTATAAGTGCACAATTTGAACTTTTTTCATGGTTGAACGCAAAATCTTCAGACGTCTTGGTATGCTAAGGTGGTTATAGATTTCAGGTTGGCACTCACCATGGACTGACATCAGCTGGAGATATATCGGAAACCTGGGGGACTGGATAGCTGTTTCGTCCTGATATGGAACTCCTCAGCAGGGCACATCTACGACTCCGTCAGGGATCGAACTCAGAGCCTCCATGTTCCGCGGCAACCAAGTTATTCAGTGACTCAGTAGTAACGTGATGACCGCAAAACCTGAACATCTTGGGTTTGATCCTTAGCGAGGTCTCCGGTGAGCACCACTGAGGAGTCCTGCACTAGGACGAAACAGCTGCTTGGTGCTCGCAGAGTTTCGGTTGTTTCCCCCAGTGGTGTAAGTCCATAATGACTACCAACCTGAAGTCAATAAATAAATCCACACAAACCTCCAAATTAAAAAGGTGATCACAAGCGAGCAGTTAATCAGATGAATAATAGCAATATTAAACCTGACTTATACGTCTTTAGGCTCAAGTATAGATGTACTTCCCTTTGTCATGGGCTAAAGTGAAATATTTATCCAGTTTTCCCAGTGATTCCCAATGGTTCTGTCTCTACATCTGGAAAAAATATCATGTGGTGTACCGTAATGTGTACTGAAATATCCCTTGATTTCAACCATCGAAATATTTTGGTTGACTTTGAAGGCCACCGTAGCAACAATAGAAATGACCACTCAAGCTTATGTACGTCGTCTGGATAGTCAGATTTTCACAAAATACAGAAGTCTAATTGGTTATTACAGTTGTTGCTAGGGTGGCCTTTAAAGTTAATCTTAAAGTCACTGCAATTTCTATTACTATGTTTCTTGGACAAACGCTAAAATGACGTTCGTGACCCATACATGACTGCTCCGTCAGATTGTTTGCATATTATATTCTTGATTTTTATTTATCCCTTGGGTTCCTTGTGGATCATAAGGCCGATCCTGGCTGACTTTTACATCCTCATCTGTGCTACCACCACCACCGCCACCACCACCTGTAGTTGAAACGATGCTGACTAGGTAGGTACGTCAAAGAGACAACTTCCTCTACATTTCTCCCGTTCATGCTGAGTGGTGCTTGTTAATCTTGTTGTTGTTGCCGTTGTTGTTGTTGGTTGGGTATCTTCAACACCTCTGTCTTCTCTACACTCACTTGAAATAAGTCCCGTCTTCACTGCCTTGTCTCTTCTGTCAATTCATTGGTTTTCGCCTGTACATCTTCGAGTTTGTGCGACAAGACATGAGACTTAAAACATCATCGGTGAAATCCAAATCTTCAAGGCTCTTTTCATCCGTCTTCTCAAACAGTGTATGCCCATCTTCTCGCTCCTCACAGTTGTCTGTTGCATCATCCAGTCCAGTCCAGTCCAGTCCAGTCGACCACAATCAGAAAGGAATATCATCGGTGATAGTAGGTGGCAACCCTGACCTACTCCTTCCTGTCTTCACTTCAAAGGCATCATCACTGAGCTTTCCACTGTGTTGTGAATCACTTGGCATGTAGCATCACAAAGCACGGCACAGCATAGCATAGCATAGGATATGGCTGTTGAATGAGGTTGATAAAGGTTTATGGCAGGCACTAAAAGCGTAGTTATGAAGCAGCTGCGTGCCAGATTACTTCTCGGTCGACGCTGTCGAAGGCCTTTTCAAAGTCGATGAAGTTCAGGTAAAGATCCAGTTGATTGTCATTCTATGGTCTGTTTTATGATGATGCGTAGCGTTGCGTTGCAATTTGATCTACACATGATTTGTTCTTCCTGAATCCAGCCAGCCAGCCAGCCAGCCAGCCAGCCTGTTCCGGTCGTGAGTTTTGTATCAGCGCATCCTTTAGTCTCTCTAGGATGATGCGCCATAATATTTCGCTTGCTTGGAGTGGATAGGATCATGATTCCACTCCAGTTTCTGCAAAGACGGAGGATTCTCTTCTTTGGGAGTTTGATGAGATAGGCCTTCTTCCAATCACTCGGCAGATACCTTCCCATCCCTCCTTGCAAACCTTCTGTAATAGTGGTGTGAGCATGTCCGCTGTTGTCTCTGAGTCGATTCTCAGTGCTTCTGGAGGAATTCCATCTGGTCCAGCAACTTTTCCGGCCTTCAGTAACTCCATTGGGTTCAGGACTTCACTTCGCTTTGTTGGACAGCTTGTGTTCACTGGTAGTTGTGTGGCTGGGCTGCTGGTGGTATTTCTGGACGAGTTGCAGGCAGGTGATGGTCGACTCAAGAGTTTTCTGAAGTGGTCAACCCATTGTTTCATCTCTTCGATAACTAATTTTCTTGCACTATCTTTCATTGGTTTCATCTGCGTTGATCTCTTCTCTCCTAGATAGTAACCTGCTTATTTTATAATACTGTTGTCAGGTATCTATCCCTCTTACCTGCAGACTGTTCTGCTTCACTTGCAGGTGTGTCTATAAAAGTGTCTTTTGTCTTTCCGTCCACTCTTCTTCACTTCTTTGTCCACTGTAGTGTTTTGTAGGTTGTATTCAGTTCCCCTTTTTGTTGTTCATCCCTGCACCGCACTGCACTGCACTGGTTCAGCTTCTGCTTCACCATCACTATCATCCGACCAGATCCATTCCTTGTCCTGTTTCTTCTTCATTCCCAGCACGGTTATGCAGGTTTCCTTCCACGCCGCTTTCAAAGAGTTCCAGTGTTCTTCCACTCAGGTTTCGTCGGATATATTGTTTAATGTCTCCCATTTTTTCCTGATGACTGACTGGCGTGAAGATGTCCTTTGTAGTTTCGTCCTCCACTTTCTGTTCTGGGTGTTGAACCGTAACTCGAACTGTGGTCTATCACCAGCTTCTTTGAATTGAAAGCTTTCAACTTGATTTTGGAGGTAGGTTGTTTGCACTAGATAGTGAAGTGAGTGGTGTGAACCTACATCTGCTCCCCTTCTTCATCTCATCTTGTGTCCAGTAAGCTGCGTCTCCACTTTCTTCACATTCAAATGAAGTCGATCTGATTTTGAGTGTACTGTGTCCCGGTGTCTGGTGAAATCAAATCCATGTCGCTGCCTTGTCAATATCCTTGTGTTTTTACACACTACCTGACTCCAATCACCAAGTCATTAAATGCACAGAAGTCTGCAAACAGTTCTCTATTCTCATTCATCATTTCACCGAGTGCTTCTCGACCTATGTTCAGTTCTCTTTCTGTGTTGTCCGCTCCCCGCAGTTTGGCATTCATATCACCCCAACCACCAGAATTTTGATGTCGCTATCACCAACTGGAGTCTTGACCAGTACTGGCTGATTGCAGTTGTCAGCAGAATTTCTCCTTCTTCTCTTGATCCCCATTATTTGTAGGTGCGTAGTGTAGCATCGTGTGTTTGTGACTTTCCTTCCTTTTCAGTTGGATCCGTCTTGCTGTGATGGTCGTGATCCTGAAGGAGGAGATATTTTCCCACTGCTTGAGAGAGAGAGAGAGAGCCTTCGAAACCCTTCAAGGGGACATCATGATAGCCACTCGAAAACTCAGTGTGCTCGTGGTTGTCGTTTGGGTGACAATATCCGAGTAGATTATTGACTCTCCAGTTGATAGTTTTCAGAGTCCACTTGCATTCCATCTGCAGATTCTTCGCAGATTCTTAGCACTTCTACGCTATACCTTCTCATTTCTTTTGTAATGTGGGAAGCCTCGTTAGGTTCAAACATTGTACGGATACGCCATGTCCCCATGCTTACTTTTGCTTTCATTGAGGGAGAGAAGACAAATCGGCTAAATGGCTTTCCGAAGGCTTTCACCAACCGTTGTCATTTCGTCTGTCCAATTCCAGGGTAGAATAATTTTAGTTTTAGTTTTCATATTTTGTCTGCGCTTTGATGTTCATCTAGCGATTGTAATTGTTTTACGAGGTCGGGTTGTTAGCCCTATTCGTAGCCTCCCTTTTTATCTGGACTTAGTACAGGCTAGTAACTAGTGTAGTAGTTAGCCCGACCAGGTTATTGTTTGGATTTGGTCAAAATATTTAGTGACTTTATGTGCCGCCCTAAAAACAACTGAAGTCACAAATTGTCCTCTGTGTTTTATAAAAATCTGCCTTTACAGACGGAATGAAGGAACCTAATTGGTTATTTCGATTGTCGCTAGGGTAGCCTCAAGCGTTGTACCAAAAATTAAATGGGCTTTAATGGGCATTTTAAAAGTCAGTCTCATTACAGTTCTTTCATTAAATAGAAATCAAGGTGATTTGTATGTAAACTGAAATATACCTCTGTCAGGTTGCTATGATCACGATAATAATATGACGTAGCGTGAAATGTTTGCTTATTGGATTGTCACTCAGAGAACAACTTGTTCTGACCACTGTTAACACTACTGTATCAAATTTAAACAATAAGGTGAATTATAATTAACCTGTGTTCAATGTTCAATCAAAAGCAAGAAGTGATTTCGTTATCTGTCTCTTCATTGATTGCCTTACGAAATAAAGTCTAGTCAAATGTAATTCCTTCAACATAATTCATTGTCATGTAAACTGTTGATGATCAGATTAATGTTAAAATGTACTTCTTATAAAGGAAAATATACTTCAGGAGTCGTTAAACCTTTTCAAAATTGACGCTTTGATCACAGTCTTAGTTGATATCACTGAGGAATAAAATATTTTTTACAAATAAAATGTAAAGCAGTTTTCAAGGTTATCCGCTGTTATCGAGTTTATTTTAGACGGTTACCTTAGGGTAAAAGTTTGTTCAAACCACCAATATTATATTAAATGAATAGTTGATCTTCTTGACAAAAAAAAGTACAAATGATAATGACACTAAGGTGACTTTTGAAGCGTGATATTCTTTTATTCCAGATATTTTCCATGCATAAAATACAGTATTTCGGCTATAGGTTGTGATGCAAAATCCGTATGTATAAGTTTATTTAAACTCTGTGGTAGTTTGCAAGCAGAATATTTTGTACGCGAAATATGTTTTATCAAATGACGCTGTAGCTTTAAACAAGTCCCTTGGACGTGATAACCCTAACGTCACACAAGCTGACTCGGCAAAATATTTCGTAATAATTTTACATTAAATCATGAAAAAAAGTATCCTTGAAAAAATTATTCCTGTTATGTTATTTTTAAAAATATACACATATTTACAGTTAAAAAAAAAATTGTAACCGTTCCTCTTAGTGCTTATACGTTATGTATGGGTTAAAGTGCAACGATTAATCTGAAACGCGATAGAAAGTCTTAATATCATGACTGACAACAGATGATACACGGTTAATGTAAAATGCTCTAATTGAAATAGGATAATCAGTTGGCAAATGATTTATAAATTGCACAGTCTACGGTGAGTAGCTTTTCAACTGTGGTGATAGTCAACAGATTTCCGTTGTAAACCACTCCACAGCCAAGTTCACAAGGTATGATCTCTGACACAAAAGTATCGTGAACCAATGAAATAAACTGCTGAACAACATGACTAGTTAGAAACCACTCAAGCTGATCTGTAGATTTTGCCAGCCAGATCAGGTTGTTCAGCATTTTATTTCGTTGGTTCATAACATTTTTGTGTCAGAGATCACACCTTGTGATCTTGGCTGTGTAGTGATTTCCAGCGGAAACCTATAAACTGGTACCACAGTTGAGCAGTTCTGTAAAGCCACTCAGCTGTAAGAAATTTCACCGTGGACTGCGCAATTTTTAAATCATTTGCAGATTGATCATCCTATGTTAGGTATACCAATCCATGTAAGTCAGCTAGCGAGATTCAAGCTATCTGAACAGTTCGTCTTTTTTTAACTGAATTTGTCCAGTCACACCGCTGATGAGCTCGGTCCTCGAACGAACAAAACAGCCATCAGGCTGGCTCCAGATCAGTTTGACCAGCTTGTAACTACTCAAGTTTTTCATTGATAAATTTCGTCATGCTCTAGTTAAATTGAGAAGTATAAAAAATACAACAAAAGTGGGGTGATAAATCATATTCAAACAGATCATTGTTTCATTAGCAAGCCTGATGAATGTACCGAATACTTTTGTATACATAAATGAAGCTTACATGTATTAGTAGCTAGTGTTTCAAGTATCCATAAATAGTGTGGGTGATGTTCTTCAGATTGATATTCCGTTTATTTTCATTCAATTGTACAGAAATAACGGATGTTTGATGATACAGCTTCTTACCTTCTTTCTTATCCATCTTGTTAATCATACTGTAAAATAAATTTAATTGCCTGACTGCGTGTACAATCAATGTACCTTGATCTGTAAGTTTAATCCTGTTCTTCGTCTTTACCTCGAAAAGTTACAGATTGAAAGCTGTGAAAAAACCGGCTTATTCAAAGTGTCGTTTTTCTATCTGTCTTTTATCTTACAATTTACAGATGCCTGTTGGTCAAACTTCAAAGTCATTCAAAAGAGATGAAATATCAGTAGTTAATGATATTGATTCTAACTCATCGCCCTTTTTAATACCACCAACTTCTAAACAAAATTCGTGGTCATCTACAACAATGTTAACTAGTAACTTGCCTCAAGTTTATGGGGTATCAAGTTTATTTTCATCTTCATCAAATTCATCATTATTAAAGTCTAACAATGTTATGTCATTTATTACATTATCTAAAAATACTGAAAATACAGATATTAATATGGATGATTTATTATTAGCATCTACAGAGACAAATCAATCCTCCTCCTCCTCATCATCATATAGTAATGATACACTGGCGTCCCTGTTGAACACTATTTGTCCACCTTATCCATCGGTGTCGTCATCAACAACAACTAATCTTGATCATCCTAGTATACCAGTTGAAATATCTAGTTATCCAAATGAAAATACATCTATTTTACGCTCACTAGTAGCTGAGTCATCTGCATTAAACTTGAGTGCAACAATAACAACAACTACATCTAAAGAACGTGTTTCATTCAAAATTGAGGAGCCCTGTGGAAAATCACCTGATTTCGGAACTACTGACTGTGTTTGTAGCTATCCACCTGTTTCTCCGTCAATTGGTGATATTTCATTCACAGATTCGATGGCTGGTCAGTGAAAGTTTATACTTGTTAATTATTATCCGGTCTGGATAAAATAAAATGTTTAAATTATTTATAGTAATAATAAAGGAGGATTTGATGTAGGGCATATATGTACGCTACTCTACGACGTTTCATTTTAGGATAAAAGACATGGGTACTACAGATTCCCGATTATAGATGTCTTTGAAGCGCTACTATTTATTATTGGGATCGTTGAGTAGGGATTATTAACACTGAGTAAAAAGTTCTATTTTAGACAAACAAAGAAAAGGTGGCCGACGAGCTTTACCAATTACGCTGGTTTGTCGGCTATATTATCTGTATTATCTACAACAACATATAGTTTTCGTAATGTTTGCATTTCTTTCCGTTGGGATATGTTAGTCTACATTCGCTAAGTAATTAGACCGATAAATAATCAGTATTATATTATCATGCTGAACAATTGAACAAGATGATCTTTTCAGTCTCTTAAAGTACTGTAATATCTTGGTAATGTTTCGCTTTCTTAACATCATTTCGACAAACCGCCTTGAAATTCTTCTTCACTAATCAGCAAGCTTTCGTCTCTCCTCTGTTTGACATTTGACCCAAAAACTATGTCAAAGAATAAAGTATTCACAGTCCACCCATCCAGATCAACATAGAACCAGGCATTACTGCGTAACGATCCGAGTTACCACACCTCATATCTGTACTTAAAGTAAAGGGCAGTGAAGTGGAAGGTGAAGAGAAAAAAATTCAGTCAAAACAAATATAAAGTACGAAAAGAGAGAAAGGAAGAATGAGAAAATGCTGAGACTCGGTACAGCGTCGTTAAGATGAGGATAAAGTGTGTATACATCTGCGCCACTGATATTAGTTCTGAGCCATATCATGTAGTCTCCAACCACTGGTTTCTCTTGTCCCGCAGACCCCATCCACCTAGTCTGCATCGCCCCACATGGCTTAACAGCCAAAGACTCCATACATTGATGTCATGTCTTAGTCTGACCACCTTGGGCCTTTTTCCTGCCTGAACCTACTTCGGCCAACATTGTGTGACAAGTTAATCGGTGACTAGTCACACGTAACACGTGTACCAACCATCTCAGTCGTTGAAGGTTCACAACCGTGTCAACTAACTTACCTCATCTCCTTCTCCCTAAAACTCTACACCTGACTTCTGCGTTACTCACATGGTGACACCACGGAATACGGTTGATACTACGAAGGGAACGGTGGTCAAACACCTGAAGTCTTCTCATGTCTTCCACCTTCAATGGCCATGTTACACAGTCATACAGTGAACAGACCGGACTGCAATGCAGTACATACGACCCTCAATAGACAATCGGATATTGCCGCGGCGCCACAGGTGGTGTAAGTTGGTGAAACCCAGCGGAACGTTTTGTATTCGTGCAGAGATCTCATCAGCCAGTGGGCCACCAGGGCAGAGCTGACCCTACTTCCCAGGTAAGTGAAGTTGTTGGCACACTCAACCACTACACTCTCTCTTGTTAGCTGCTACCTTGACGTGGTGGTCGTGCTTGCATATCACAATGATCCGACGAGCTATACTTGTGGAATACTTGTTTCCTCGAGGTCCTACCATACCAGGAAGGTCTGTTAGATAGTGGTTAGACGAAAAGCAGTTACCGTTGTGTTGTAAATTGCTACAATATGATGGGGGGTCTCAGGACGAAGTCATACTGCTGCTAGCTGGATGGGGTGACAGCAGTAAGGTGTTTCCCTTGTATGACCAGCAGTGTCATGCTGATGCTGCCTTCTCAGTGGAAGAGGGGGAGGTGGGGTGGAATAGTTCGGCCCCCATAATAACACACTTCATTATCCCCCACAGTCTGCCGGGTCGGCGGTGTTAATTCATTTATCGTTTCTTTTCGACCATCTGCCCCCAGAACAACAAAAGTTCAAAATATCCATATAGTCTGACATTCTCAGTGTGATATTTCAGCAGATTCACTTCTTTTACAATATTTCAAATGAAGAAAAAATACTAAGGCAGTTAAATAATGGATTCAAATAGCGACTGTTCTTCCTCAGAACCTTATACCTTGCTGAGTCTCGAAAATCAGAAGACAAAGACCGGCCTGACTTTAGGGAAGAAACTTTACTCGACAAAAATACATCATTTATATACAATTTTCATGGACATATAAAACCACTAGATCAAACGGTGGGATGTTTATTTTGATTAGCCAACTGTAGGACTAAGTCGCTCAATAATTTTTTTCGTGACCGCACAGTAACATAAAACAAAGGTTGAAATCCAAAACTTCTATGTTATCTATTGATGATTAAAAGTGTTGATTTCCACCTAGGCTGCTTCTTATCATCATCCAACAAATAATGCTGTTTCACTGTGTGAAATGTTCAACAAACAAATTAACATGAAATTATAGTTGTGCTATGGTAACACCTACTTGAGCTTCAAGATAAACTTGGAAAGATGAAGAGACTCGTTGATTCAAGACGATTGTAGGACTAACTTGAATGCGAAACCAGTTATGACCGTGTCCTACTTTTCTTGTGTTCTATGCTTGTGAAAAGTAACACAACTGTAGTGTAAGCTTTTTTTGAACACATCGAACCAACTACTGTTAGACCAACTTTTCTCTTCACCTGCATTTTCCTTATTTTTAAGCTTGATAATGTAGTTAAGTTTTTGCTTATAGTATCTTGAGTTTCAGCTTTAAATAGATTTTAGACGTATTACTAATTGGTGATTATTAGCACTTAGGGATTCAACTCATTATATAATTGTAGACTTTACTTAAGTATGCAGTGTGGGAAAAAAAATTTGGTAATCATTGTATGTGCAGGGTGATGATGGTTCTGAAGGTCAGCATAGTTTGGTAGATGATTAGTTTACTTAGTAGATCTTTTTCGTTCAATCATCACTGGATACATTCAATAAATCTTTTTAGAAATTTTCTATTTTTACTTGGATTTGATGACTGAAGAACTCCAAGACTGTTAAAGTCATGTTTAACAGCTAATATGAACGTGGTTATAGAAAACTAGATATCTTAAATAAACTATCCAGTAAAGAATACTATATCACTATGCCCATTATCATACAAACAAACTAACGTGCAAGCCACTTGCAATATTATAAAATATTTGATAGGATGAAAAAAATACAGCAGTTTCGTTAATGTTCGTGTGTCTAACTTACATTCAATATTTACAAACTGTTAAATCGGCTTCTCCAACCTTCCTTATATTCAATTAAAAACGAATTTCATTACTATGGTTTTTTTATTCCAGCTGCTGTAATGGATGTGCATCATATGGAGTTAGGAAATTCTGATGAGGAGCAAAATGCAGATGCAGATGCTCAATATGAATCTGTAAGTCTAGTCTAGTTCTTTTATACTTTAATTATCAATGGTGTGAATAAAGCATTTTTAAAGGTCAACAGTGCAATTAGTTATTCATGTTGCTTACTTTGTTTGTAAAAGTGATTGTCTTGTAGAGAGACTTTCAACAAGTCAAGATTTTATTCTTATTTCTATTAGCCTTTTTCTTCAATATCATCCCTTAATTTCATTTTAATCGATTTCTTCTACATTCCTCAACCTCAGAAATGACTACATTCAAGGTGTTTTGAAATAAAACTATTAAGTTTTTAATATGACAGTTTGTTCCTAATCCATTTCAAGTTTAATGGATTGGTTCTCCTAAGGTTGACATGTAATACTCAACGAATAAAATCGTATATTATTATTATTATTATTATTATTATTATTATTATTATTATTATTATTATTATTATTATTATTATTATTAGTCCCTTGGGTTCCTAATGGAACATAGGGCTTCAGTAGCACGTCTCCAGTGAACTCTGTTCTCTGAAATCTTTTAAACCTGGCTCCACGACAGCCGAGAGGCTCTCATTTCCTCCTCGCACGATCTCCTCCATGTCACCCTCACCTCGGACGCCCAACTCGTCGCTTCCCACTTGGGTTCCACTCGGCGACCTGGCGCGTGATGTCCCCAGTCGGCCTTCTCAGTGTATGCCCAATCCAATCCATCTCCACTTCCTTCTGCATATTTGTTCAGTGATAGGTTCTTGGTTGGTTCGTTGTCAGGCCAGAGTTTCTTGTTGCTTATTCTTTCTGGCCATCTGAGTTTCAGTAACGAGCCAGAGTAGGCAGTTGTTGATGAATGTCTGTAGTTTATTGGGAATCCATTTCGTAACGCGCCAAGTCTCTGAACCATACAGAAGCACTAACTTGACGTTGGTGTTGAAAATCCGGATCTTGTTGTTTATGCTGAGTGCAGAAGACCTCCACACTGGTTTCAGGCTAATGAACGCCTGTCTTGCTTTTCCGATTCTGACTTTGACATCCTCATCTGTCCCGCCTGTTGTTGAAACAGTGCTTCCTAGACAGGTGAAGGAGGTTACTTCCTTTAAGTTTCTCCCGTTGATGGTGACTGGAGTTTGTTGTTGTTGGTGGTGCGGTACCTTCATCACTTCTGTCTTCTCTATATTCACCTGAAGTCCCGTCTTCGCTGCCTCTTCTATCAACTTGTTAGTTTTTGCCTGCAGATCTTCAAGTTTATGTGACACTGGGCACAAGTCATCGGCGAAATCCAAGTCTTCTAGGTTCTTTTCCGCTGTCCAGTGTATCCTCCTCTTCTCACAGCTCCCCACTGTTTGCTGCATGATCCAGTCCACCACAATCAGGAATATCATGGGGGATAGTAGGCAACCTTGTTTCACTCCTGTCTCCACTTCACTTCAAAAGCATCACTGAGCTTCCCATTGTGAATTACTTGGTTGGCATGTGGCATCTTCATATAGTTGTTGAATGAGGCGGATAAAGGTTTGCGGTACTCCGTAGTAGTGAAGCAGTTTCCAAATTACCTCTCGGTCGACGCTGTCAAAGGCCTTCTCAAAGTCGATGAAGTTGAGGTAGAGAGTTGACTGCCATTCTATACTCTGTTCTATGATGATGCGTAGCGCAGCGTTACAATTTGGTCCGCACATGATTTGTACTTCCTGAAGCCTGCCTGTTCCGGTCGTAGTTTTGAATCTAGCGCATCCTTTAGCCTCTCCAGGATGATGCGGCTTAATATTTTGCTTGCACTGGGTGGACAGGAGCGTGATTCCGCGCCAGTTCTTGCAAACACTGAGGTCTCCTTTCTTCGGGAATTCGACAAGGTAACCCTTCTTCCAATCAACTGCAGGTACCTTCTCTTCCTTCCACACCTTCTGCAATAGTGGTGTGAGCATGTCCGCTGTTGTCTCTGCATCTGTTCTCAGTGCTTCTGGCGGTATCCCATCTGGTCTTGCTGCTTTCCTGCATTTCAGTAGCTTTATGGCGTTCAGGACTTCCATTTTTGTTGGAGGATTTATGTTCACTTGTAGTTCAGCGGCTGGGCTGCAGGTGGTATTTCTGGACGAAGTGCAGGTGGTGGTCGATTCAAGAGCTTCTTGAAGTGGTCGGCCCATCGTTTCCTCTGTTTCTCTTCTTTTGTAATTAAATTTCCTTCTTCATCTTTTATTGGTTTCATCTGTGTTGGTCTCTTCCCTGATAGCAACCTGGTTATTTGATACAATGTCGTCAGGTCTCTCCTACCTGCAGCCTGTTCTGCTTCACTTGCCAGTGTTTCGTAGAAGTGTCTTTTGTCTTTGCGTGCACTCTTCTTCACTTCTTTGTCCAGTGTTTTATACATTGTGCTCAGTTCCTCTTGTCGTTGAGCATCCTTGCACTGATTTATCTTCTGCTTCACCATCCTCCTCTCCTCTATCAGCTTCCAGGTATCCGTCGAGATCCATTCCTTGTCTTCTTTCTTCTTCCTTCCTAATACGGCTGTGCAGGTTTCTTTCCACATAGCTTTCAAAGACTTCCAGTGTTCTTCCACACTGGTTTGTTCAGGGATGTTGCTCGATATCTCCCATTTTGCCTTGATGGCTGCCGTGAAGATCTCCTTTGTAGTTTCATCCTTCAGTTTCCGAGTGTTGTACTTGAATTGAGGTCTATCACCAGCTTCCTTGAAGGCTTTTAACTTGATTTGGAAGGTTCCTTGCACTAGATGGTGAGTGGTCTGAACCTACATCTGCTCCTCTTCTTGACCTTGTGTCAAGTAGACTGCGTCTCCATTTTCTTGAGATTGAGATAAAGTCGATTTGAGTTTTAGTGTGTCCATCTAGTGGAATCAGATCCATGTCGCTTTGTGGATATCTTTGTGCTTGATCAAACTGCTCCCAATCACCAAATCGTTGAATGCGCAGAAGTCCTTAAACAATTCTCCATTCTCGTTCATCACCTCACGGAGCGCTTCTCGACCCATGGTTAGTTCTCTTCCTGTGTTGTCCCCTCCCAGTTTGGCATTCATGTCACCCCACCCATTAGAATTTTGATATTGCCAACTGGACTGGGTTCTTGTCCAGTGTTGATTGAAGTTGTCTGTAGAATTCATCCTTCTTCTCTTGATCCCCATTATTTGTAGGTGCGCAGTGTGGCATAGTGTGTTTGTGACTTTCCTTCCTTTTCAGTTGAATCCATCTTGCTGTGATGGTCGTGATCCTGAAGGAGGAGATATTTTCCCACTGCTTGAGAGAGAGAGAGAGAGCCTTCGATACCCTTCAAGGGGACATCATGATAGCCACTCGAAAACTCAGTGTGCTCGTGGTTGTCGTTTGGGTGACAATATCCGAGTAGATTATTGATTCTCCAGTTGACAGTTTGGAGAGTCCACTTCCATTCCATTTGCTTTCGCAAATTTCAAACACTTCAATGTGATACCTCTCCATCTCGTTTGCAATCTGGGCTGCTTTGCTGGGTTCGCACATGGTGTGGACATACCATGTCCCCATGCTTACTTTCGCTTTCATCGAGAGAAGACACATCGGCCAATCGGCTTCCTGAAGGCTTTCATCAACCGGCATCATTTCGCCTCTCCGATTCCAGCAAGGAATAATTTTGTTATTATTTTTTATATTTCGTTTGTGCTTTGAAGTTTCTTTAGCGGTTAGATTTGTTTTACGGGGTAGGGTTGCTAGCCCTATGCCCAACCGTCCCTCTGTACGGGGGCTTAGGACCGTATAGTAACTAGTGAACTAGTTAACCAGGCGAGGTTAAAATCGTATATAACAGGAATTAAATTTAGAAACTATAAAATGAAGTTTATGCTCTATATAGCCACTCTTTAGTTTTCAGTAATAGATTGGTACCGAAGTCTTTAAATGATTACAACATGTGAGAATTTTGTGCCTTATTAGATTAGTTTATTTCATATAGCATAGGGATGCAGTATTTTTATGAATATGTTAGTCAAAAAAGAGCATATCGCTAATCATTAATTTATGAATCGGACTAGAATGTTGATTGGAGAGATCATACTAAAAAATGTAATTATGCCTAACTTTCACAGTTTTCCAATTTCAAGACAATATATAAAAACAAAGAGAAAAAGCAGCATTGAGATCTTGAATATTTTAATTTTAGCAAACGTATTTATAGATACCTGGGGAAAACAGACATTAAGAACATACTAACCTACTCTCAATTTATGCAAATGACACTTTCACTGTATCGAAGTCAGAAGATATCTGGAATTTCGTACACAGTTGAACTTGGCAGTAGATGTAGTGCAACTCATATATAAGTTAGCAAATGAAGAAGGGGAATTCTGTATGTTGGATCGGGAAGTCAAACGAATAAGAAATGGTAGTCTGCATACCAGTGCTTAGAGGACTCCATCACACCCGAATAAATACCTGAATCTTACATTATATTTCACTATCTACCAATGCATACTTAGTGAAATACTGGAGCCGGGATTCTGACTAGTGAATCAGAAAATACAAATGGAGAACTCAAACAAATCGGAGAGAGGTATATTTTTTAGCACTAGCTCTCCGGAATTAATTTGAAAGTTTATAAGGATTTATAAGAGGAATAGAAGTAACAATATTAGTAGTAAATGTAGCATGACTAAGTGGAATTCTAAGCCTTCATAGTGTGTTACCATAGGAATAATAAACGCTGGAAATTCTACCTAGAATTCTTACAGTAGCATTCGAAAACTGCATACTAATTCACACAGAAACTTTGTAGTTTAAAAAGATCCTATAGATCCAGTTAAGCAAAACAGGTTAACAAAATACGTTAAGAGAATATGCTGAAATTATTTCAGATTATAGGAATGAAGGGGTATCTACAGTATGGAGTTAGAAAATTATATTACTTGAGGTAGAATGCTAAGGAATTTGTGCATACCGAATCGGGCCATGGTGGTTGCTTTTTCGAACACATAACCCAGGCAGTTTGATCCCAATTAGTACTGCCTCTGCACTCTGAAGGATTCACAGCCGGGTACCCTTTAGCAAGTTGGCAGGAACTTGGTACGAAATGGAAAATGGCTCATTCATATCCACTTTATGGTTCGTTTCAACCAAGTGTGCTAGTATGGGGCTGGTTTTAGTCTTTACCTTTACTTAACTACGCTAGAAGGTGTTTGCGAGCATGGAAAATTAAGCGGTTGACGTAACTGACTACAGAGACAGTCTAACTGACAAATACAACAGGAAGTGGTCAGTCTAAGTGATTCATCTTTCAGTCTTGGTATCACTATTGGACGTGTACAGAAAGTAATTTGTAATCTACCAGCATTAAACGTTCTCCGAATTGATCTGCGTAATTCTTGAATTAAGATCTCCCTGAGCCCGTCACCTCTAAATTGTACCCGTATATATTGTCGTTTTCTGCTAGCCGTTGAATAATCCTTACATGGTAGACATTCGTAACGATTCTATCGCTACTAAGAATGAAAGGACTACGAGGTTTTGGAATAGGAAAACAGGGTTCGTAAGTTGTTTGATTACATTGATATGATTATGACCAATCGATTTTGCACAAAGCTTCATTCAGGTGTGATGTATAAAAGAAGCTGGGGATTCAAACGAAATGTGTTGACTTTACACCTAGTCATTTTGTTTTATTGAAGTAATTTGCTGGCTGCCAAGGTCGTACATCTAAATAACTTTGACATGTAAGTGTAACTGCTAGTTTATCTTGGTGATCATAAAAAAAGACTCCTGATGTGTGCTACACTGGAACGCTTCTCTATTCATTTATTACCATGTTATGAATGTTCATTAGAGTACGCGAAAACAGCATGTTTCCAGTCGAAAGTGAATTAATTACCTTCAAAATGCATTCCTATCATTGGGATGAGTTAAAAGTCTAGGTCCTTAGAAAGAACACATTACATCATTGTCTACGGAGGCATGCTACCGGTAGGAAATTCCACAAAGTATACAGTCAGCTGCCTAAGATCTAAATGAAACACTTTTAGGTTCCAAAATCACACTGTAAAGTCGACACACTAACCAGTGTCTTTTTCAGACACATTTCAAACGATAATCAAAAGGTATGTAAAAGCGTCCTTGAGTTCCCATCACTTGTGCACAAAATGACATTACTTCTTTTAAGTTAGTCATTCAATTAGTATAATAGCACACGACGTCAATGTGTATTATGCCCCCTTAAAATCGAGTTTCTTTCAGTCATTCAATTGTTAAATTCATCATAAGTAGCAAAAGTGCACAACACTCTGTGATAGGGTTTTCTTTTTTCACCAAACTGCTTAGATCCGATTTCAGTGCAAAATCACTGAAATCTGAATGAGAAGTTGTTTAACAACAGAAGTTGGTTCAAGTTGAGAATTCCATCCAAATACCTCTCTCATTATTTTCAAACAGTGTGAGCGTCGATCGTTTGTTGCGAAAACAGTATTATAAAAATCTCCAAGTACTACTTATTCTTCAAACAACTTACTATTATTATTTGTCCCTTGGGTTCCTTGTCGATCATAGGGCTTCAGTAGTACGTCACCACTTCACTCTCTTCTCCGCAGTTTTCTCAACCCGGCTCTACGACTGCCCATAAGCTTTCATTTCTTCCTCACACGATCTCTTCCAGGTCACGCTAGGACACCCAACAGTCGTCGTTTCCCCTTTGGGTTCCGCTTCAGGGCCTAGCCTGGTGCGTGATGTCTCCAATCGGTTTTCTCAGTGTATCCAATCCAATCCATCGCCACTTTCTTCCGCATATTTGTTGAGTGATAGGTTCCTGGTTGGTTCGTCGCCAGCTCGCCAGAGATCCTTGTTGCTCATTCTTATTATGCTGACTATCTGATCTTCAGCATCGAGTGAGCGTAGGCCGAAGCTGTTCATGTATGTCTGCAGTTTATTCGAAGTGTTTTTCGTAATGCACCAGGTCACTGAACCAACACATAGAAACACTGACTTGCTTGACATTAGTGTAGAAAATCCGGATGTTGTTCACGTTTTATGCTGAGTGGAATCGAGTGGAGTGCAGTAGATCTCCACACGGAATTCCGAATATGGAAGGCCTGTCTTGCTGTCTTTCCGATCCTGCCTGGCTTTGACATCCTCATCTGTGCCACCACCACCGCCACCACCTGTAGTTGAAACGATGCTGACTAGGTAGGTACGTCAAAGAGACAACTTCCTTTACATTTCTCCCGTTCATGCTGAGTGGTGCTTGTTAATCTTGTTGTTGTTGCCGTTGTTGTTGTTGGTTGGGTATCTTCAACACCTCTGTCTTCTCTACACTCACTTGAAGGAAGTCCCGTCTTCACTGCCTCGCCTCTTCTGTCAACTCATTGGTTTTCGCCTGTACATCTTTGAGTTTGTGCGACAAGACATGAGACATAAATCATCATCGGTGAAATCCAAATCTTCAAGGCTCTTTTCATCCGTCTTCTCAAACAGTGTATGCCCATCTTCTCGCTCCTCACAGTTGTCTGTTGCATCATCCAGTCCAGTCGACCACAATCAGAAAGGAATATCATCGGTGATAGTAGGTGGCAATCCTGACCTACTCCTTCCTGTCTTCACTTCAAAGGCATCATCACTGAGCTTTCCACTGTGTTGTGAATCACTTGGCATGTAGCATCACAAAGCACGGCACAGCATAGCATAGCATAGGATATGGCTGTTGAATGAGGTTGATAAAGGTTTATGGCAGGCACTAAAAGCGTAGTTATGAAGCAGCTGCGTGCCAGATTACTTCTCGGTCGACGCTGTCGAAGGCCTTTTCAAAGTCGATGAAGTTCAGGTAAAGATCCAGTTGATTGTCATTCTATGGTCTGTTTTATGATGATGCGTAGCGTTGCGTTGCAATTTGATCTACACATGATTTGTTCTTCCTGAATCCAGCCAGCCAGCCAGCCAGCCTGTTCCGGTCGTGAGTTTTGTATTCAGCGCATCCTTTAGTCTCTCTAGGATGATGCGCCATAATATTTCGCTTGCTTGGAGTGGATAGGATCATGATTCCACTCCAGTTTCTGCAAAGACGGAGGATTCTCTTCTTTGGGAGTTTGGTGAGATAGGCCTTCTTCCAATCACTCGGCAGGTATCCTCCCATCCCTCCTTGCAAACCTTCTGTAATAGTGCTGTGAACATGTCTGCTGTTGTCTCTGCGTCCGTTTTCATTGCTTTTGGCTGAATTCCACCTGGTTCTACCGCCTTCTGGGATTTCAGCGACTTTATGGCTTTCAGGACTTCGACTTTTGTCGTAGTGTTTGTGTTCACCTTTAAACTAGTGATGTGCGCAAAACCGGCCATTCGGTATGCTTTTAATTTTCATGTATGCTTGACTGATAACCATGTTTTATTGTAAACCTCTTTCGAATTTTTCGACGGTCAGTCTTAAAACTTATTGTTGAACCAATTTTTTTCTTTCAGCTTATAGAAGATGAAGATATCAAAACAGTGAAAAACAGTAATATTAGTAAATCTGAGTATAATTGTGTCACGAATGTTGAAGTATTCCTTAGAACGAATACCCCACAATCTGGACAAAAATCATCTGGTCTTATTTCATCTATACAAACACCAACTACATCACTGAACTGATAATGATGACAGTCATCATGATTACCAAATATTGAATTATGAATGGTGCGATATTGCTTTTCTTTCCTTGTTTCTCGTTTTTTTCTCATTGTAAAACAAGATTTTTTGAAAAAACAGCAATAGATAAATTATCAAATGTTTATTTCAAATTTCACCTGTCATTCATTGTACTATATGGATGTAGACATGTGCAATTCATATTGATTGTTTAAACCACTATAAGTCAAATATCAAGAAAAAAATTCTTTCCAGCAGTTACCGCAGCCATAAAGTCTAGTCTGTTAATATAGTAATAGCCAAATTTGTGGTGAATACATTTTGAAGTGTAAATTCATATTTCCACTGAAGTGAATATAAATTATAGGTGTCAAATGATTGATGATTATAATTACTCTTATTATCATATTATTTTAATAATTTTGTCCGTAAACTTTAATCGATCTCATTATAATTTTACATTTCTTTTAAAAATGTATTCATTGTAAATTTGGTTATTACTATGTTAGCAAATTTGATTTTATAACTGTAGAATCTGACGAGTTCTTCATTTTATATTTGACTTTTATTGTATGTAAAGGAATTTCTATATTGTGTGACAAAAATTGTATTTGAGTCAGCCTGTACTTATCAAGAAGATTATCGAGTCTGCATATAACAGGTCTTATGAAAGTTTTCATAGGGTCGAACTACTGAGAATTAAGCATAATATGATAGGTTTTATCACCAGTTTAAATTCAATTTTGTAATTGTATTTATTGGTCTTTATAGCTATTAATTGGCACCATAGTCGTATGAATGTATACATGTACACACACTGAGAAGTGTTTTCAACTTCAACTCGCAAGAATCAATGCTGCTGAATGTTAATCGAATAGAAAAAAAAAGCACTACTTTAAAAAAATACTATCTGGAGCTTTATAGTCAACCATTTCAACATAAAAGCTACCTATGTGGGAAATTGTCGACTTGATGAACTCATTCATATGTGAGATCCTATAAATTTGTTAATGTCGGCTTGTACAATGAAAAAAAATTGATCAGCAGGTAGTTGAGTATTTTCAGCTTGTTAATTTTTCCAATTGGATTTGATTACATGTCCATATTTCCAGACTCCATAAGTCTTTTTCAATTGTACCATCAGAACTTTAGAACAGATATGTAATTAGATGCATTGGCTGCACCAAAGGCAGGAAACCATATATGGTTAACTTATTTCTCCTATATTCCACCTAGTTAAGACTAAATTCAAATGTTACAGTCTTCTAAGCACTTTGTTTTCACATGTGATCCGTTAGCGACTTATCTACTTTATCAAGTAGGATAAGAAAACTGTGAACCACTGAAAACCGACCCGTGAAACCTGAAGGTCCTGAGTTCGATCCCTGCCCGGGTCGTGAGTGCGTACTGCCGAGCAGTCCTATACTAGGACGGAACAGCTGTCCAGTGCCCCCAGATTTTCAATGGTTCCCTAACTGATGTTAGCTCGTGATGAATACTACCTCCAAAATTATATTCCACTTATTTTAAGAAAATTATTTTAGCCTTTATCCAAATAGGTACTCAGCGTAACGCAGTCTCATAACACAGACAACTTAGAAATCGGCTTTCAAGCTACGCGTCTCATGTTCTATCCTTGTCCTGATTACTTTGATTCGGACAGTCGGGTATTGCCTTAAGCGTTCATACGATAGAAGTGGCTAGTATCCTAGTAAATAAACCTTTACCAGGTTGCATTATATTTTTCAAACTATTTTTGAATGATAGAAGTTATTCATTACTCAAAAGAAGAGAAGAAAACAATATAATCAGTGCGAAAACTTTATTAAATATAACTTCTTGACCAGGGAATATATAATGTTCAACTTAATGAAAAACCATGAGTTGAAGACCGGGTTTTTCGAGTCATTAAACAGATACATCAAATACAACAAGGCTATTCGTTCGGTTGAATAAAACTGAACATAATCAAGGTTAACTATATATATATATATATATATATATATATATATTTCGTTGTTACTAGAACTCTCCTCCGATTCCTTAATTATACAAATTGCATCATAAGACAGTTCCTTCCCAAATATCTACCATAAAGCATTAGACGCTCCTCCTGGGGGTTGTTTAGTACGAATGGCTGTGCGTACCGGACGATTGTCATCATATTGTGCACCTGGTAAAATAAAAAGAAAAATGACAAATTGTTTATCAATTTTCGAGGTATAAAAAGACTGATAAGTTCAGTTCTTCATAACTTCCGACTGAATATATGGCATGTAAAACTTTACGATGACGTCTGAAATGTTATTTACTGGTCATTAAATGCTAACACCTCGCTTACGAAGTTCATTTCTGCGCATATATTCACTAGTATCAAACCGCTAGGATGGAAAAAAAGCAGTTTTTTTTACACAATCATGGAGGAAAATTGAGACTGAATATCTCCAATAGAAACTTGTGAATGAGATACTGTAACTCCACAAGCAATTCAATGAAGCAACTGTTTTCACAAAGAAACAATGATCAAAATGTATTCAAACCATTCATATTAATTATATTATTAACTCATAAACTCGAACGAAACTAGTTTCGAAAATCTGGGAATCAGATGTGTAATATTAACGCAGTGCCTGGAATTATCGCCTAAAGGTTTCCGTTACTTCGCATCACACCAACGTGCAAGGAAAGACTAGAAAATTACCAAAAGTTGACGAAAAAATGAAGCAAAGAACCAAGTGTTACATTACGATCCAAGTGACGGTAAGATGTGGACATATCTGCACCAGTGACCGACCCCATGCAGTATGATTATGAGCAATAATTTATGCTCGAAATAAATAGTACTAGATCACTGTGTGTTGTAAATTAAATAAACAAATCTAATATGGAATTAAATTCTACCACAGTGCCTAAGTTTTACACCCATATTAGTATCACCTACAGTCTGCGAAAAAAGGTTTCACTTGTCTCATTCAAGAGAATCACAGCGTAAAATTCTGAAGCACCCTTTGAGGTTTTTAAAACGAATTCTGTTGCTGTTAACCTCTGAAGTGGAAACATTCTTCAACAATTGGTTATATAACACACCGTATAATTTCGTGAATTTTCAAAAGCCGACCCTTTGTAGGAAAATAAAAGACCGAAAAAAACTAACCACGAAAGCTAATGTACTAAATTGTGGTATAAATATCGTCAGTCATCCATACCGTCTAGACTCTCCTATATTGATAAGCTAATCAAATATCTAACTTGTTAGTTCACAGTTTTCTAAATACATTGACATGAAAGCAAAATAAGAAGCCAGTAGGTACACGTAAAGTGCACTTAATCAATAAGTATGGTGTAAAGGAAAGCGAGATTTACGTGTATCCATTTCAGTTTTAGTGCCTGCAGTAGACGAATGGGACTAAGTATCGAAGCAACACACTGACACCGGTCCCAACCGAAACAATTCAATTCACACAAAATTTCTCCAAGCATAATTCTGAATAAGAATAGACAGGGTCATGTTCATGTATTGAAGTTTTACCTAGTTTACTTTTTAAAAAAGTAGGTCTAAGTGGCACAGCATACTGTATGATGGGATAAATCCACTGGTCAAGGGTGGTATGTCAGTCGATGATATTAGGAAACTCGACTGACTGAAATGGCTAAATGTTTTGTGGATGCCGAGTCATCGCTACCCTCAAGTGCAACAGTGATTGGAATGCGACTGGATTCTTGAAAAACACGGCATCAAATCACGGTATTCGCTGACATTTAGTTTAACTTGTGTAAACTTCTTAGTTCAGGTCCATAAGGTAGTCAAATAATGGTTGACAACTTCATACGACATGAATTGAAAGCGATTTTACTAGTATATTTTCATTCACTCGTTATCTTCCTCTGTATGTTGAAAGTCTTATCGCTCTTCCTGTTCTTTCTTCACTTCTTTCCTGATGATTTTCTTCCTTATACAACTGGGCACTTTTATCAGATGCAATTGTGTGTGATGTCCTACACTTTTATGTCTGTCTTGGTTAACAACTATATGTGAAGCTGGGTTCAGCGATTCCAGGTACTCCATTACTAAACACTATTCCAATGGTTAAGACTCATTCCACCTAGTTATTCTTTAGATATCCAGTTGTAGGATCCACTCATACAACAATTTACGCGACAGATTATTACATGAGCTCATGAGTAGCCATCTATTCGCATTTACCTAACCTGATTTCGATAAATGAAACGATAGTTCATTTCAACAATGTTGTATGTGCAGAAATTTCTTTGAGTTATATCACCCTGAATGTATACCGATTAGTAATTAGTGTTTAAAAAAATGCAAACGGATCTTTGAATTTGAACGCGATTCAAATCATCTGGCTACTGACCCGGTATATCACCTACTGGACAGCTCCTAACTAGATCGGTGACTTGATTACTAACAGGGCCAAGGTTACTTTTAGATGCTAATCAGTCTCCAAACAAAGATAGATAAACCCGATTCTGCGACCCAAAGTAAAGCGCAAAACTTCACTACCATACGAACAATTTAAAGTCCCTACATTGGGTTAGAGTGCAACATACTATGATCAACCGTCAGCTTAACTCACCTGAGAAATCTGATGATGATGCCTCAAAAGCCAGCAAAGCTTACAAACGAAGCTAAGGTAAACAACGAAATGTTAGGATTCTCCTTCGGGTGGTAATATTAACACTGTAAATTCTGATGTGAATGTCAGTCCATACTACATCTGCTTGTATGGAAGGAAAGAAATTTATGAAACAGAATACCAGGGCAGATTTTCTGTCGCTGTAATGCTGCTTATAATTTAGACATATTCTCAAACTTGAGAATTATTATTCAAACATAATGACAGTAATAAAAACAGTTTATGAGCGCATAGTTACGAAATTGATGAGCATCAGTGGAATTTCAGCTCATACGACAGTGCTAAAGGCTAAGACGACCAATAATCCTATGATTAAGCATGAGGAAAAGTAATAACAAAGTGAAATTATATCTGAATTCAAAGGCTTGGGTTCTGAAAACATTTGTTGAAAGACTGAACGACTTGGAGCTACGCATACGACGGCTACTTAATTTGACTTCCAAGCTTTTGACCTATTTTGATTATTGGAGTGTCTACATTTTCATGCTGCTATCCTGGTTCTTATCATCATTATCATCTATATTGCATATGCTTTAGTCAACGTTATCACACTTTTATCAATTTCATTATTATTATTATTTGTATGGTTATCTCCACCGTTATATGAAACATCACATCAACCGACAAATCTACATGATTGGTTTAATTTTATATATACTAAGCTATTTTTATTAGAGTAAAGCCTGAATAGGCTCTAGTTGAAACAATATTGTTTGCTTATGTCTTGTTTTAATTTGACTTGTCAAACCTTTCCATAGCACAGGAAGAAAAAATAAACGAATGAAGAAATAGGTTGAAATAAAGGTTGCGAACGAATAGGCAATAGAAAAACTATTGATCTGGAAGACAACTGTACCTTTATGACATATTTCGTCACAAAACCTTTCTAGACTTGCTGTTTTTGAGGACCACAATTATGAAGACCACATAGTTCAAATCTAAAAGTTGATAGCTTCATGATTAGTCGATACATCAGATAGTGCTTCTTTTCGAAGCTTATTATTTGTACATCCTGCCAAGCAAGTAAACATGTTCAAAGTCTGCTTCCGACATAAATATTCAAAATCATACTGGCATTCCATCCTGGCATATCAAATCTACTTTTTTCAGTGTAACGAACTTTTGTATTAGACTGTGTCCGATAGTCAGCCTGCTTTTCTTCTAGTCTTGATGTAATCGGGTGTTGGCTGAAAACTTGGATCCACAATACGATTCAAACAACCGGCAGAGTAAAATGAATAAATTTGGAAAAAACAAACAATAGTCCCAACAAGACAAACATTATAGCTGCATATTTTTTGAATGTTTAGCTGATGAAATTAGGTCACTTAACACTTCTTACACCCTAAAATCAGTTGGATGTGAGCACTACAGGTTTACAAATACTATGTACTTCCCTTGTTTCACTGATTTCATTTCAATTTGATTCTCTAGATGTGTAGCAGTGTCATGCATTTTATGGCACGTCCTTTATTAGGTTGTTTGGACCGAAATGAATAGTATTCAGAGAAGTATATGGCAGTTCGTGCAAAATTCACATCCTTTTTAAAGAAATTATTTTCGTCAAAATAGCTTCAGTTAAAAGTAGATTGCTGACAGACACATACCACTCAAAGAAAAACTGGATTCTTGCATATTTCGACCACCTGAACGTGTTGGTGACCGAGGACGTAAGCCATCCCCATCAGGTCCAGCTGATACCTTCTCTGTTCCATTTTTCACGATAACATCTTCAAGTGGCACAGTAAATTCTGTGGATACTGGGCCGGTGTATGAATCACGCATAATTGGTTTTACCGAGCGCAGCTAAACAGCACAAAAAAGAAAGCTGGGTGACAGTTACATCATGAAAAGGAGAAAGTATTACAAGGTTACTGTAAAAATTCATATTTTAAGTGGATGAAAGTTCTAGTAACAATACAGAATATTTGGACTCAACTTTAGGTGAATACGTGGGAATGAAAGGACACATGAGTTATGAAGACCCAAACTTATGGTCTTCACATTAACTTGATACGTAGTACTTTGTATGCTATGAATTTCTCCAAAATACCACTTGCTTTAGGATCCTTAAGTGATAGCCGAAATGCATGAACAAGACATAAGTAAAAAGAGATTTTGGCATATACATTGAAATAAGCAACTTTAACACCTATTGATTATTCATATTCAGTTAAGCACCTCACCATCCTTCTCACTTTGCAAGGTAGTGAAGAAAAAGTCACATGCAACAATTTACTGTATCCAATCCAAGTGGGGAACATACGCGTTGAAAGTGGAATACAAGATATAGGTAATTGACTATTAACTCCTTAGAATTGACTACATCTTGTGGAAGCATCAAGTAAGGCTGGTTGTATGGTCCTAAGCGAGAGAAGAAAGCCAGTTGATAAAGTCGCAACTTTCATTAACTGGGATAGCTGAGACACGTGTTACTCATGTCTATTCAGTGTCTCGTTCAGTGGGCTATGTTGGCTGAAGTAGGATTAAGTTGAAGAATCATGGGTGTTCAGACTGGAATAAAACACTAGCCCATTAGTTTTACGACTTTTAGCTCATAACCACAGGATAACAAGCTTAACCGAAGTAGTATTCTACTTCGGAAAGCCTAGAGTCACTCGTTACTAAACAAAAACAGTGGTATGGAAAAAGCTACAAAACCAGATTTCTCCACTTCGACAAGAATGCGTTGATGACTTACGTGTGAAAGATTCCGTGGCATAAACATACCACAACCGGCAAACCATATAGCCATGGGACTAAGTTTATCTAAAATGAGTGGTGTTATCACACTCCGATAACTCTGGTCAGATTCTCATTGAAAGCAGCTTTATCATTTTCATCATCGAGCTGTCTATATAATTGTCTACTACTACCTATCACCATTGCCTTTCCCATCTCTTTAGCTTTCGCTATCAATGAGTAGCTCTTTTGTCAGTCTACATTTGAATTGTTTCCACTCCTCATTGCTCTCAAAACCTGGAGGCATGCGTTCGCGTGCATCCATTTAGGCGCAGATAGGTGTGCTTAAACCAACTCATGTTCACTATCCACATACATTCCAGAGAAAGTGGTATCTTTTCACCTACTCTATCCAGCTTGTGCTGGCAGCAATATGGTTTATCTGTCTAATGTTGATTCGAAGTTGGTAGATGCCACATCAGACGATATTTGTGTTTGAAATTTTTATTGTTAAGAGAAAGGTGGTTATTTGATTACGTTTATTGTAGGTGATCACCATTACTCAACAGTTCGGCTAGTATCCTGAAAGTGTCACCTAAATGTTTTTCCGTTTGGCTCAAGTTTTCAATTTGTTGATGAAAATCGCCTGCTTAAACAACTGTACCTGAACATTTGGCTTGCAACAGAATGCTAGACGGTTTCCCTGTAAAACTCATCTTTTACTTTATACGAACTGAGACCGGTGGATGTGCGAGTGAGAGGGAGGGAGAGAGAGTGCACTTATAAAAGGGCGTCTCATAAATATATTTAGTTGCCTTCGCCTTTTTCAGTCAAATCATCTATAGATGCTATCAACAAGGATCCATCTCCACAGTGCGCTATCTGATTTAGGAGTTAACATTATATCTAGACCTAAAACTGACGTAACTACCCATCAAATCTCCGTGAACTCAGAGTACATTTTGTAGATTTCCTATATTAGCCGGGTGAGGATAAGCAAATAACCATGCCTGGATGCTGTATGTGCGTCTCAAAATCACACCACACATTCATGTCCTGAGATGTAGTGGTTTTAGTTGCCTAAATGTAATGTCTAGTTCGAAGAAGGGTGAAGACAACATTATAAACTTCAACACGTATTTTGGAGCGGGGTTTCAAGAGATCAAAGATGGTTTCCCACAAGCATGAGTCACTATCAACGGCTACAGAGCAGGGGAAAAACTATGGATTCCGAAGGAATATTAACAGATATGTGACGAAAGAGGATCCCGGAGGCCGATAATGGGGAACTTGCGAACCGACAAGTGTGAGAGTAGATGATACTTTTACGCTGTGCAGACAGTGGAACACTTGTTTGCACGAAATACCTGGAAGAGAAACTTGAATTATTTTACGTGACCACAGAAACCAAGTGGAATTTTCTTGAGACCAGTCATACACAAGCCTTTTAGGATTTTGAGATTTAAGCTTCAATCTGTGTTTAACCTGGACTATTACAACCATTAACGCCGGCACTAGAAGAAAGAGAGTAATATTAACAGTAACGGCAACAGTGAGCATCCGTGGTGGGGATCAATACACGACCAAGCATTATTGCATAACAACACAAGTTTCCAAACTTCACATCACATCAAGAGAGAAAGCAATAAAACAAAAGACAAAGAACTGAGGCAGAAAACAATCAGAAATGGTAGAAAGTAGTAAAATGAGACCGAAGTGGAATGAGAGAATCCTGAGCTGAGATGGGGATAATGTGTCGATACATATTAGCCACATCACCCAGTTTCCAACCACTGGTTTCTGTTGTCACGTGGACACCAACCTGAAAGCCTACATTCCCCTATACGGCTCAGACCAACAGTCAAAGACTTTATAAACTGATGCCTGGCCGTACCGGACCTTTCACCAGCCTAAATCCGCTTTGGCTAATATTATGCGACGAGGCAGACAGTGGCCAGGCATGTGTATTACATGCGTCAACCACCTGAGTCGATGAGGGTTCACAACCTCACTAGCTGATTTTTCCCTCCTCCCTAAAACTATACACTTAACTTCGGTATTACTGACGTGGTGACACCACAGTACACGGCCTATGCTACGAAGATAACAGTGGTCAAACACCTGAAGTCTTCTAACTTCCCCTAACTTCAATCATCACTTTTCACAGTCACAAAATAGGAGAGAGTAAACTGCGGCACAGCACACTTGACCGTTCATGGAAAATCGGATATCGCGGCGACACCTCAGACGGAGTAAGTTGGCGAAAACCAAGCTAGCCTTTGAGGTCCAGGCTGAAATTTCATAAGCCACCGACAAACCAGGGCTGATCCGACCTGCCTGGCGAGTGAAGCGGTCAACGAGTCCAGCCGTTTCACCCTTAATTGTTAAACAGAGCACCAATGAGGACCCGTCCTGGAGCAACAATTTGAATTCGAGTGGCGGGAAATGTATCTCAAACACCCTCAAATTGCCACTCAAGGTGTGCAGAAGACCTTTCATCTTGTCAGCGTCTTCACATAACAGGAATATGTCATCTGCGTATTCTAGGTCAGCCAAGGGTACTCCTGTGATAAGATTAGTCCCCGTGAAGGACGACGAGTGGGAGACTCCCCCGCAAGTACGCTTACGATAAAATTGAATGAAACTGCAGAGAGCAGATAACCTTCACGGATACCACAAGAGGTACGACACAACCTCTCAAAACCAAACCAATCACCAACAACATAGGACCAGGCATTACCACACAACGGTTCAAGTTGCCATACCCCAATATCAGCACAGCAAGTAACAAGGCAATAAGACGAGAAATGAACAAAAAGAGAGAAATCGGTCAAAATCAGTAGAAAGCAATAAAAGAGAATAAAGAGAGACCCGAGTCAAATGCCACCTTCATGTTAGCAAATAAAGCCAGTGTTCGGTGTCGGTAAGTGTGCCTGTGTTCCAAAACCCAGTGAAGGACGAATATCTGATCGGTACGCTCACAGCGAAGTCTGAAATCCATTTGATTTCCTCGGGTTCGCTGCTCCCAAGCTCCCTAGGACGTTTCATGATTATAGAACCTAGATTCCTAGACACTATTTTCGTCAGGCTGATTCTCCTATGGTTATCGCTTTTCGCAATTAGTAGTAGAGACCAGTCAAAGGGGATCATATCTAACTCCAGTACACCAGTTAACACTTCAGTTAACGTGACCAATAATCCTCTACCAGCGTCCTCAAATACCTCTGGTACCAGTCGGTTACGCCTTGCTGCTTTTCCTTGCTTCAGGTTATCTACAGTTTTCTCGACTTCCATTAGCGTTGATGTCCTAACCCAATGTTCAATTCGGAATTCGACTGAATAGCCAGCCTGCAGGCATGCGTTCGCGTCCATCTACAAATTCAGAAGAAGCTGCTGAGATCCACTGTCCGTTGTCAACCACTCTCTGAGAGTTGGATACAATCTTCAGCGATATTTTCACAACAAATTGAAGACGGCATCAGGTATCTTTTAGATGGATGTTATTCTGTTCCGATAACTTTATGTTCAGTTTCTCCCTGAAAACGGTCTTAGCACTCTTTGTTCTGCTGAGCTGGCAGCGGTTTTGCTGCTATAGTTTTCCTACATCCATTTAAACGCAGACATATACACCCTCGAACTGAGGTTTGGTCGCTCTCCAAACAAGTTATTCAGAAGGAGTTGCGGCCTCCCACTAACCCTCTCCAAAGGTGACTGGTATTGATGTACTGTATGTGTCCAATGCTGAGTTGAAGTCTGTGGACGTCACGTCAGACTCTGCCTCTCTTTGTCTGATGTACATTCTGGCCAGAAATAAATGGTCTGAGCACAGTTTTAGCAGCCGATTGCTGTCATCGGTACATTCGGTCTGGATTCCGAAAGTACCACCTAATTGTCTTTCTGCTTGACTTATCCCACCCACCTGTGCATTCAAATCACCTGGAACAATAACCACGTCTGAACGCCTGGCTTTCAGTAGGAAACCAGACAGTTTTTGGTAGAACTCGTCCTTCACGTCTTCCCAACTGCAGTTAGCAAGTGTAGATCATAAAGAGACAACAGGGAGTTTTACTATTCTACTTATTCCTCATAGCCGTCCAGTCAGACAGCGCATAGGCGACTGCCAA